AAGGCCATGCGAGGTGGCCTGGATGCGGATGAGCGTGACAGCAGAGAACAGATCTTCGGAAAGAACAACATCAATATTCAGCAGAAGAATATCCCGCAACTATTGATGGACGAGGTGAGCAGAACTCATCCCCAGAATTGGCAGGAATATTTGCTAATATCTATAGGCGTTTCATCCGTTCTATATGTTCCAGGTGGCTAGTCTACTTCTCTGGTCGATGGACGAGTACTATTATTATGCCGTCTGTATTTTCCTCATATCTGTGTTTAGTATCGCAACTACTGTTTTGGAGACGAGATCGGTAAGTTTTCAGCCCCATCGGGTTTTGATCCGCATGTTAACTGTGTCCAGACCATGAAGCGACTGAGGGAGATATCCCTTTTTGAATGTGACCTTCGCGTGTTGAGAAACGGATTTTGTGAGTTTCCTATCCGCCAGGAATTCTGACATTTGCATTTTTACTGACTCCCACAGGGCGCTCGGTGTCTTCGCAGGATCTCGTTCCCGGTGATGTGTTTGAATTTTCTGATCCATCGCTTAGCTTGGTCCCATGTGATTGCATTCTGCTCTCCGGAGACTGCATTGTGAATGAGAGCATGTTGACTGGTCTGTACACAAATCGCGAATTCTCTTCGAGCAACATACTGATACCGATATAGGCGAATCCGTTCCCGTGTCCAAGGTCCCATTCACCGACGAAGCTCTAGGCTATCTGGACCTTAGCGCCCCCTCCGTGGACCCCCATGTCGCCAAGCACTTTCTGTTCAGCGGCACTAAAATCATTAGAGCTCGTCGACCGCAGAACGTGGATGATGATGAAGCTGTTGCGTTGGCTGTTGTTGCAAGAACTGGATTTGCGACTACAAAGGGCGCACTGGTTCGCTCGATGCTTTTCCCTAAGCCAGATGGCTTCAAGTTCTACCGTGATTCTTTCCGTTACATTGCCGTTATGGGAATTGTCGCGCTGATCGGTTTCGTTGCCTCTTTCATCAACTTTGTCCGACTTGGTCTTGCCTGGCACCTTATTGTTGTCCGTGCACTCGATCTGATTACCATCGTCGTCCCGCCAGCCTTGCCGGCGACCCTTACTATTGGTACGAACTTTGCACTGTCACGGCTGAAGAAACAGAATATTTTTTGTATAAGTCCCCAGAAAGTCAATGTGGGCGGAAAGCTGGACATCGTCTGCTTCGACAAAACCGGTACCCTCACCGAAGACGGCTTGGATGTTCTGGGTGGAAGAACCGTCGGGGGTAATCACAAATTCTCCGAGCTACTTTCCGAAACAACTGCTGGTGTTTTTATCGCTTCATCATCCGCAAACTCGGAATATGATCTTGAGAAGCAGCAGAAAATGATTTACACCATGGCGACCTGTCATTCTCTCAGAGTGGTGGATGATGAACTGCTCGGTGACCCGCTTGATGTCAAAATGTTCCAGTTTACTGGTTGGTCATACGAAGAGGGTGGCAGTAACTCTTCCGAGCAGACTGGCGCCCACTTTGACACCATTAGCCCTTCCGTTGCTCGACCACCTACCACCCACGTGGGCCAAATCCAGCGACATGGGCCGAATGTACGTTTCCTCATCATATCAAGTTTGAACCTTAATTGATTTAACCCGTTGCAGATTCCCGTCGAGCTTGGAGTTCTTCGTAATTTCGAGTTTGTCTCTCATCTTCGCCGTGCAAGCGTTGTCGTCCGACAATTCGGAGACAACGGGGCGAATTTCTTTGTCAAGGGTGCCCCAGAGAGCATCAGGGATATCTGCCTACCCGAATCTCTCCCATCGGATTACGATGAACTTTTGAACCATTACACCCATAAAGGTTACCGAGTCATTGCATGCGCCACTAAATACGAGCGCAAATTGAGCTGGATGAAGGTTCAGAAGTTGTCTCGGGCTGATGTTGAGAGTGACCTGGAGTTTGTTGGATTCATTATTTTCGAGAATAAGCTGAAGCCTACAACTGCTCAAGTTATCTCGGAGCTGAACCAGGCTGGCATTCGCAATGCCATGTGCACGGGCGACAATATTCTTACTGCCATTAGTGTGGCCCGGGAGTGTAGGATGATCGGTGCGAATGAACAGTGTTTCATTCCGCATCTTCTTGAAGGTGAGGTTTTGATGAAATCCAGACATCTCGAATTATGCTAACAAAAGTTGACAGATCCTGGTCTTGGTGGCAAAACATCTGTAATCTGGGAGAGTGTTGACGATCCAGATGCTAGATTGGATCCTAAAACACTTTTGGTAGGATTCTCTTCCATTATTCTATCAGATCCGACCGCTAACTGGATACAAGCCTTTGGAAAATTCAAATGCGAACGATGTATCTGTCCCCGGAAATGGGCTGCAGCAACGCAAATACTGTCTCGCCGTGACTGGTGATGTATTCCGGTGGATGATTGATTACGGAAATGAGGATACGCTGAAGAGGGTAAGTTTGGAATCTCGCGCTCTGCGGTATCACTTGCTTATTGTCATTTCTGCCTTTAGATCCTGGTCAGCGGGAAGGTCTTCGCCCGAATGTCACCCGATGAGAAACATGAACTTGTCGAAAAGCTCCAGTCAATTGACTACTGCTGTGGTTTCTGTGGAGATGGTGCCAACGACTGTGGTGCTTTGAAGGCCGCAGATGTGGGTATCTCACTCTCGGACGCAGAAGCATCCGTTGCTGCTCCCTTTACTAGTCGGCAATTCGATATTTCTTGCGTGCCAAAGTTGATACGGTATGTGCGCTCCTTTCCAATGCTCTGAAGACTAAACTGACCATTTCAATAGCGAGGGTCGAGCTGCTCTGGTTACAAGTTTCTGTTGTTTCAAGTTCATGAGTCTTTATTCAGCCATTCAATTCTCCTCCGTCAGCTTCCTTTATACCTCTGGCTCGAATCTTGGTGATTTCCAGGTAGGTTGACAATTGGTACAAAACCATAGTAGGGGAAAACAGAGCTAACCAAATCATTACAGTTTTTGTTTATCGACCTGGCTCTTATTATGCCGATTGCGATCTTCAGTAAGTGACATTGCGCCTCGAAAATCACAATCATTGTTACTAACCTCATCCAGTGGGCTGGACTGGGCCTTATCCAACTCTTTCCCGGAAGAGACCGACCGCTGATCTCGTGTCACGGAAGGTCTTGACGCCTTTGCTCGGACAAATTTCCCTTGTGGTGTTGTCCCAGCTCATTGTCTTTGCAACTGTCCAGAGACAATCCTGGTATGTTGAATCGTCTTCATGAGTCATGGTGTGCGGATACTAACCATTGTAACTGTTAAAGGTATCTACCTCCCCAGCTAGACCTGGAGAAGAGCAACATTGTGAATTCACAAAACACATCACTGTTCCTGTTCTCTTGTTTCCAGTACATTCTCACTAGCATTGTCATGAGTGTTGGACCGCCATTCCGCCAATCAATGACGATGAATGGTAAGCAAAACCCCCCCCTCGCTGAAGGAATCCCTCGCTGACCTTTGACAGCCCCATATTTATGCACGATTATTATCGACGTTCTGATTGGCTGCTACATGCTCTTCCGCCCATCTGAGTGGGTAGCCGACGTGATGCAGTTGACCTATATGTCGGATGGATTTAGAGGGTGGCTAGTGGTTCTGGCACTCGGCATGTTCTTGGTGGCCTGGTCCGCGGAGAGTATTATCTTCCCTCGACTTGCCCGCATGCTCGGCCATGTCCGCGCACGCGTTCAGCCCGGCTTCCACAAGAAGCGCCGTCAGTACAAAGTCCTTCTGGAGGAGATGCGACTGTACAATCTCTAGAAATACATGGCAGATGCTCTGTACTGTAGTGTATCTAGATTTTAAAATAGACCTCTGTAACAAAAAACGAGAATATAGAAGGGTTTTCTTTTCGGGTTTGCGCTCTGATACAATCGCATTGTTCTTCTAAGAAATGGTATAATACATTTCAACTTCCCGGTCTCGATCCTTGCCCCGCTAATGGCGAAGGATTTCTCTCAAACGATAAAAAAAACAAGTGGTATGAAGCACTCCGTCGACCTCCGCGGTTGGCTTGGGTTCAATTGCGTCGGGGCCGTCGGTCAATTTCAGGGTCGGGCACAGAGTCTTGACGAGAGTCGTCTAGTGGTCCCAAGGGTGCTTCCAGCCCATGAGGACAGCGCCGTCCTTCTTCGCGCGGTACATCAGCTAGATGAGTGAGAGCAGGTTAGCAGAATCCTGGGTCGGAGAGGTAACGGTGAATCGTACGAAGAACCACATGCTGGCGCCCAATGCCGTGGCAGTGAATCGATACAGCGGTCGGACCGGGTGGATGTGAATGGGGTGGGAGGATTTGCCAGCCATGACTGAGTTCAATTGTGTTAGCGGATTCGTTTAAAGAGTCACCACGACTTGAATTGAGTGACACTCACTGTCTGTTGTGATGCTTCACGAGAGGCAGATGCTGTCGTCGGATTCGGGGAGGACGGCGGGTTGGAAGTTCAGAGGTTCGGCCACGTGACCGGTGACGGCACGCCGCTTTTTCGAGGTGCGGCCCTTGCCAGTCGCACGTAAATTTCGAGGGCGTCTTGGGCGTCTTCACTGCTCTCACTTTGGATCAAAAGATAATTGCGCCAGTGTTTGATTTCAATTCACTGCCAGAGTTACCAGCCACCCACCCTCAAAGCGGCCCTTGAGCGGCCTAGCCCCCAGCTCCTGATAACTACGGCATCGGCGATGCGAAATCCCGCCGCATGTACTTCTTCTTTCTTCTTCCTTTTGACCCTTGAATTTCACTTTGGTACTTTCTTTCCTACTCAATATCTCGACCTCCTCACTTGAATATCACGCGGAACCCGAGACCGAAGAATCCCTCCCGACGCAAATCGACGCTTCGCTTCACTTGCGCGTATCGCATGCCTTTGAATACCCATCGATAATACTCGCAAAGGAAAATACTTGGACGAAACTGTCAACTCCCATACCGAGTAGTGAGCTGCGATACATCACCCTCAACGTTACAGACGCCGACAGAGCCGACAAGATGGCCGCCATGTCGCTGGAGAGAAACAGCAATGGCCAGCCGCGATTCCCTGGCTGTGGAAGCATCCGTGACTTTGAATTCCTCGGCAAGCTTGGAGAAGGAACCTTTGGGTAGGTATCTGCGGTCATTTCGACTTCACACAGCTTACCGATTGTTCAGTGAGGTTTACAAGGCACGAGCCAAGAAGGACAATTCGCTCGTCGCGCTCAAGAAGATCCTCATGCACCATGAGAAGGAAGGCGTGAGTTTCATTCATCTGAAGATTCGCGTTGAAAAGCTAATTATTTCCCCCCCCTTTGCAAGTTTCCCATCACTGCGATTCGAGAGATCAAGCTTTTGAAAGCTCTCTCACACAGGAATATCCTGCAACTCAATGAAATGGCGGTTGAACGGAGCAAGGGTGAGTATCATTAGTTGCGTTATGGCTTGGTCGAAACTCTTTTAACACGCATTTCAGGCGAGGGTCGGAAAAAGCCTAGCATGTACATGGTCATGCCGTACATGGAACACGACCTTTCTGGACTTCTGGAGAACCCGGCTGTTCAGTTTACGGAGCCCCAGATCAAATGCTACCTGATGCAGCTGCTTGAGGGTCTACGATATCTGCACGCGGTATGGTTTCCCGACTTCTTCTCTGGGATATCCATCTCTAACTTCTTGTAGAACAACATCTTACACAGAGATATGAAAGGTGTGTAACTTTTCAATTCGACACCCGCAGCTTTAGCTAATCTGGCATGAATAGCTGCCAACCTACTCATTAGCAACGGGGGTATACTCCAAATAGCCGATTTTGGATTAGCTCGACCCTATGACGAGCCCCCTCCGCAACCTGGAAAGGGCGGTGGGGAGGCGAAGAGAGAATACACCGCGCTCGTCGTCACAAGATGGTACCGACCTCCAGAACTGTTGCTCTCGCTGCGGCGGTACACAACTGCCATCGACCTGTGGGGAGTTGGGTAAGCAATTCGACCCCATTCTGTATATTCCGTCACTGATGAGAATAGTTGTGTTTTCGGCGAGATGTTCAAAGGAAAGCCCATCCTCTCCGGAAGTAGCGATCTCAACCAAGCCCAGCTGATCTTCAGCATGGTGGGAACTCCCAACGATGAAAATATGCCCGGGTGGCGCGACCTACCGGGCTGCGAGGGCGTGAAGAATTTCGGCAACAAACGCGGGAACCTTGCCGAATCTTTCAAAGAGTATGTTGATAGCTTCTTCCTCACTTCTGACGCAGGTACACTTGGCTAACCGATCAGACTCAACCCCGTTGCCATCTCGCTACTCGGCGAGCTTCTCAAGCTCGACTGGAGAAAGAGAATCAATGCCATCGACGCCCTAAAACACCCTTACTTTACTACCCCCCCCTCTACCCCTACACCCCGGCGAGATCCCCACATTTGCGGACTCGCACGAACTCGATCGGAAGAAGTTCCGAGAACAACGCGCCCCAGGCCCTCCAGCACCACCCGTCGGCTCTGCCGACCCTTCTTCAAACGGAGGCTGGGCCAGCTCTGGCTCCCGATCGAATTCACAGAACCCCCGGATCCCGGGTGCGGCCCGAGGTAGGCCCAATGCACCCGGAGGAGGGCCGGGCCCACACCGAAGAGGCCCATTCCCACCATCACAGAGAACGAACGGACTCCCACCGCGCCCTCCCACGTCCTCAAATCGGCCCTACGAAGGCGGGCGCGACGACCAGCGGCGTGACCGTGACCGTGACCGTGACCGATTCAACAGCCAAGGGCAAGGAGATCGTTCCGGCGCGAGATACCCAACCAGTAATCTCGATTCATATGTACCGAGCTATGGCAACCCCGCAGATCGTCCGCGAGATGCACCCGAATATGCAAACAACCGCCGTGATTATCGCCGGGAGCCGCCGCGGAGGAGAAGTCGGAGTCCCAATTTTCGGGACTCGAGTCGGTGAGTGATGGGCCGAATGATGCAGGGCGTTATGCCTGACGATGTGTACTTCTACATGATCCTAGCCGGTCTTGGTCTTCTATGTAGCGAAAAATAATACCTGGAATTTTTAGATTCAGTTTCTTAGGCCTTCTGAAGCAAGATAGATTGCCGTGGTGAGGGTAGAATTACCCAAGGAGCTCCCTGCTTTGCCAAATTCATCGAGATAAGTCACCAGCGCGACATCTCTCATGTCGGTACGAGTATCAAACTGCCCACTCTCTGCTCCTAAAGCCTGGGTGTTTCCTCGGTTCAGACGAAACAAGTTACGGGCTCGTCTCCAGAACTCATGGGCAGAAGTTCTTGACCTCGGAAGAGATTCGCGTCGGTGCTGATTCGAGGCTATTCCCATTATCGCATTTGCAATTCTTGGTGACAGTATAAAGTGGGAAATGTTATGTGAGAAAAGAGCCCGTGCCGAAGGGATTGTTAAAGATGTAGATGTCTCCTGACTGTGACTGACGTGGTGCATCTCCTCGACGATTCGACTGTGGTGTTGTGATATCCTTGCCTCTGTATAACTGCTGATCTCCGCAACAAATGCTGCTGCAAACATGGAACAGCGGTTTCGACCGGAGCCAGATATTTCAATAAGAACATCTCTTTGGGTTCCTAGTTCAGGAACTATTATAACCCATGTCCCAGAGAAACAAGCCTCATTGTTACTGTTGGGTATTCTTCAGCGTCAGAATGATCGATAGTTAATGATTCGTGCGCAAGGTAGGTGGGTGGGGTGGAGAGGTGTCAACCCCATACGGTGCACCGTGAGGCGCGATAGCGGGGTCGATAGTAGAAATCCAGACGAATTCAACTGGAAATTGAAGTGGTTGCTAACGTAGTGGAGAAGTTCGTGATAAGCTACTAAGGTAACTACTTCTTGGCTGAAGGGCAGGCGCAGTTGACGGGGGTGGGTCACGTGTAGGTCGAAACATGGTTTACACCCAGCGAAACAATACTAGTAATTATTGTGTAGATCAGGATATATATAGTTTAGTTTATCTCCAAACTTGAAGCTGTTTGTATCTACCTAGGTAGATACCTAGGTATGTGACGGGCAGACTTCAAGTCAGTAGCTAAGACAGCGAAAGGCCGTTGACCGTGCCGTTAAACTGATGCCCAGCTCCATTGTTATTGTTTTGAGTACCAGGACCTGTGTTTACATTGGTTGTTCCTTCTCCGGAATTTCGAAACACAGAGCTTGGTATATTTTCTTCTGGTATCGACGAAGACTTCAAGGATGGAGATAAGTCCGCAATACTGCATTCGATAGTTAGTGGTCATTCTTCTCGCTCTGGGTGATAGAACTCCTTTTGCATCGAACCTTATCTGTGAGCTCCATCTCTGAAGCTCCCCAATTAGTCTTTTGAACCCAGTTGCTTGAGCTGATTCAAATTTCACCATCTCACAGTGGTTGGCATGGATACTGATTGAGTTATACCCGGGCAGAATTGCCGATTCTTTAGACACCACCTTCCCTACTTTAGGCAAAGGAAGCTCTTCAAAGAAGCAAGTCACTTCAAAGATCTGACCACTTTCTCTTAATCCCCGTATCATTTCCAGAAACTCAAGTTGGAGAGATTCGAGAAATTGATTGTCCGTTTCTAGAACAGCAAGCAATGATCTATTGCTGGACTTGACAAAACTCAAAGCTGCAGCAGGTATCTTTGCCCAACTAGCCATCCAAGACCCTCCATGAGGCGTGCCCATGAAAACAATACCCTTTGTAGATTTGAAAATGTCCTGCAGATGGAGCTCAGGATTCCTTCGAGATAGAAGAAGTGCCTTTTTGCACACCAGGCCTCCGAGGCTGTGGGCCACGAATATTATAGGCCTGGACGAGGCGTTGCAAGATGTCCTATCAGTCGTCAAGTCGTGTAGGAGATTTGTAGCATGATCGATGGCTCGGTTATTTGACAGGACGGATTTTCGTATCGCATATGCATCATACCCATACGTCAAAATCCGGGCTTTGCTGATAAAAGTCGGCAGCAGTGTTCTCGGCCAAGGTTCGTTCTGCTCATTGGGCGTCCATGTTCTCCGCCGATCTCCAGTCAGTCCGTGGATAAAGCAGATATCGAGTTCCGCTTCCGGGCAGTCGTATAAGATCTCAATCCCATCTGGGAAGGTTGATGTCAATGATGTATCGTGCGCCACTGCCGTTATGGTTTCCGGTTGGACTGGCAGCTCTGGTGAGATCTGATCATTCTGAACCGGGTCAGTTGTAAAGCGTCGATTTATCTGCCTTGTCAAAGACTTCAGTTCCTTCATTTTATAAAGTGTTAACCTGCCAAATCAATGGCGGGCTTTCGGCTCAACGAGTATGCAAAAGCGGGGGATCGCGGCGTCTTAGTAGGTGAAACTTACTCGATCAACGAGGCTTATACCTAGTCCGAGTCTGCAAACTCCTGGAGCATGCGTTTCAAAATATGCAATTGAATCACAGCGCTAAGTGGGCCTTGAGTTGGGGGCGGTATTATGTACAGTACTTGTTTTCTTTCTAGCGTCAAAATCTCACCGATTCGAACAATGCAACTCAACTCAGGGTTCTTATATCATTGTCATCAGGCTATGTCGGGCTGGAGATACAGCTGTCTTGGAGGTCATAGGATAGAATTCTGACGTTTTGGACAGAGAGAAAGAAAGTGTTTCAAATTGTTCGGTTGAATTCAAGTGGGGAGTAGTACTTTTGGCGACAGGTGTCTTAGTTTTGCCTACTCCGTAGTTGTTTTGAAAATGCTGGTAATTTTCCATCGGCGCTTAGATATTCATCAAGTGTACTACCTAGGTAAATTAATCAAATACTTGGCTAATAACCTACAAAATCCCCATGCATCCAGAACGGTGCTATATTTTGCGAAGGTACATAATTGAGCACCCAGCTACTCCTTAGCAGATTGAACTTTGTACCCGGGTAACCCTGCACCTCATACATAATACCATCCTGGTTGCTCACACCATGCCGTGCCCCAATCGCACTCAAATAAAGAACTCTCTTGGCGATGTCATACACACCCTTTCAAAAACTGAAGAGACTCATGAAAGTCCCGCCAAAAACCTCCCTCCTGTCTTCGGCAACACAGCCGCCCATATACCACTAGTCCAAGCGGTCTTCGCATCCTGCAAGAACCACGTTAAAACATGGTCCTCCCAGGATGATGAGTCTGCCGAAGATGTGAGCAGAATTTTGATACAGTGCAATAAGAAAGTGACGAGGTTGGACGAGATCTTCCAGAACGTCACCGACAGCTCTGATGCGGTGCAGCAGTATTCAAGGGTTGCGCACGGTGTCGGATTGGAGGTTCTGATGAGAGATATTCTTTCAAATACGATTGAATTAGCGAGGAGTCCGGTCTTTGCGACAGCGCCAGTGCTCAGATCACAGATTGAAGAGCTGCAAGAAGCTTTGCGAAAGGTTCATATGATACCGTCTTCGCTGCCAAAGGCCTCTCATCAATTTCATAATTCTGGGTCTGGTTCTATGAATGTGAACACTGGGGGTGGGTCCCAGAATAACAATACCGGCAAAGGGTTTCAATTCAATGGGCCTGTCAACGGGTTGAATATTGCGAGAAATGGGGAGTGATTGGGCTTGGTAGGGGTTTTTTAAGAATTCGGGTATTCTATACCCTTCCTCCAGAATACCATAACACATAACTATCACTGATCGTTCTGGTCGGTCGGGGCCGTACTCAATTCGACTCAGTGAGTAAAAGCGGCAGGGGGCGAGCACTAGAACGGAAAGAGAAGGCCAATCATTGCCAGACATCATCTGGTATGTATGTTGGATCTTTTGAGAAGCAGAATTATCATTCTGTTTACGAGACTTGATACTCTTACATGTATTTTGTCACAGCCAGAAATGATTACATAGAGTAGCGGTCTAAATCACGATTGTCAAGGCCAAAGCAAAGGGGAGACGGGGCACAATGAGATTGTTTAGTCCTCGACCGAGTGGGGGCTGAACATGTACCAATGATACTATACATCACAAATGAGGCGCTAACTGTAACACTCATGTCGGATCTAATATTAATAATCAGCAGCTCATCCCCAGTCACCAAATCTATGATACTAGTCGCACTTACCCCGAGTTTTTGAGCATTTTCGATTTCACATCACGCCATCCGAATTGCTTCATTCGCTGTGCACCTCGCATTTCTGTCCGTTCTCATTTTTGATGGCAAATCACATGAGGTAGGAAGGTAGACAGCGCGAATGATATTCTCCTCGCAATGAGCCCAGTCAGATCTCTTGACTTTGTCTTCAAGAACAATTCTGGGTCGCAGCCTACTGAATTTACCAATACTGGAGATGGCTCTCTGAACGTCAATACTGGGGATGGCGCTCAGAACAACAACAATGGTCATGGGACACAGTACAACATCTCATGTGAGGACAAATACAATAAACGCAAAAATCGTGGCAAATATTGGACGCAAACATTGACAAATTACAGTCAATCTTGCCTCTAAATCGGAACAAAAGGAAGGTAGGGTGCCTTAGAGCAGATCACGAACTGCATCTTGACCAATCCAGAGCTAACCTGTGATAGGCGTGGAAAGACTGGATCTGAGTGAGCATCACCCTGGTCGTGACTTGGCACTCTCATTCTCATCAGAGTTTCAGGAATTCTCAAGTCGCTAGCATTCGATGATATGAACAGCCGACACTCGAGTATTAAAAGACGACACAAAGGAACATGCCTATGGGTAACAAAATTGGAAGAGTACCGATCATGGGAATCAAACAATTGCGGTCTGCTATGGATCAGGGGCAAGCCTGGTGTCGGGAAATCGACTTTGATGGCCTTTCTGCTCGAGGCCCTCGGAGCTTCGCATCCAGATAATGGAACCATTTATCTGAAATTTTTCTTCCACGCCCGGGGCAAAGAATTGCAACACACGGTGATTGGGATGTTCAGAGCCTTACTTTTCCAGATCATTGACCGCGATGAAAGTATACGAAGCAAAGTTCGTGAGATCTATCGGCAGAATACCGGGCCTATGGGGAGTCTTGGGCATCAGGGAGGGGAATTGTCTCAATCGCAGCTAGAACGGGCATTCGAGGAGACGGTTCTTGCTTCGGCTTTGAAGCAACAAGTCGTCATTTTCATCGATGCGTTGGACGAGGCCGGTGCCACCTCGGCTCTAGAGCTGGCAACTTATTTCCATGAGCTCAATGAGAATGCGCAGAAGGGGAAGCTTAGGCTCAAGATTTGCATCTCGTGTCGGCACTATCCAATGCCGAGTACTCGGCCTGCTGTGGAGATTACGGTGGAAGATCATAATTATGGAGATATCACCAATTACCTGCGAGACAACCTATTTACGAGTCCGTCTATGCATGGTCTACTGTTGGCAAATAAGCTGATCGAACAGTCTGGCAATATGTTTCAATGGGTCCGCATCATCCTGCCATTTGTTCAGCAAAAGCTTGCGGAGGGAGATTCGTCTGAAGCTGTTTTCGACTGGTTGAAAGAAATACCCACCCCTCAAGAAGACATGAATGAGACATACCAATACATATTGGAACATGTTATAGCTGATTGGAATCTGGCTCAATCATTTCTGTTTTTTCAGTGGGTGTATCTAGCCGAACGACCTCTGACACTGGCAGAAATTCGGTACGCCCTGACAGCGTCTAACGCACGAGCGAAGAAATACCCCAAGGAATGCCATGGTGTCAAATATCCCCTAGAAACAGAAAACCTGAACTCAAAGATCAAAGCTCTTTCCGGAGGTCTAGCTGAAGTTGTATCGGCTGAAGACAGCAAACAGGTCATACAGGTCATTCACCAATCTGTCAACGACTTTTTGTACCAGAAGGGACTACCTTGGATGGCCGCTCGTGCCAGATCCCAACCCTTGTCGCCCAAAAATGACGAAGTCATCCTTGAATGCCAGAAATCACTTTACCAATCATGCTTGGACTATCTCACCATCGAGTCATTACAAGGACTGAACGCACGCGCGTTTGAAAAGTACACCGTGAAATTTGCGCAACAGAAGGAAGACCTTCAAGGTCGACCCTTTATCCACTATGCGGTCGTCTATCTTTTTGTTCACGCAGGGAAAGCCCAGGACTCGCGGCCCAACACGCTAGAAAATGACCTACGAGGCCTGAAACGCATCTTCGAGCTATGGCTCAATACCTATCGCACGATAGATACTTCTAGATGCCCGCCGAAGGACTCACAGCTCATACACATAGCTACAGCCGCAAACATGAGCCATGCCGTGGCCTCGCTTCTAACTTCGAATCCAGAAAGCATCGGGAAGGAGGATTCTAATGGGAACACGGTCCTTCATATAGCCTCTCAACACGGCCATGTGGAACTGGCTGCATTATTGAAACAGAGAGGATCCAACTGCCTGGCGAGGAACAAACGCGATGAGACGCCATTGGTATTGGCTTTGCAGAATGACCACTTGGAGCTCGCCCGATGGCTTATCGAAGAAATGAAGGATCTAAACACAGCCACTGAGTTTGATCTTGCGTTACAAGAGGCTTCTTACAAGAACCAGCGCGACATGATTCAGCTACTCAAAGCTGCTGGTGCCAACATCAGTTTCGAGGGAGGCAAATACGGCTCTGCCCTCCAGGCCGCTGCATCTTTAGGGAGCATTGAGGTTGTGAGGATTCTACTGAATGATGACGCCAAAGTCAACTCACGAGGAGGCAAATTTGGAACTGCGTTACAGGCGGCTGCATTTATGATGGAGACTGATGGTGTGAAGCTTTTACTACAGTTTGGTGCCGGTGTCAATCAACGAGGAGGTATATACGACACCCCTTTACAGGCGGCCGCAACGAGAGAGAACCTCGATATTGTGAAGAGCCTATTAGACGCTGGCGCGAAAGTCAATTTAAAGGGGGGCCGGTATGGGTCGGCTATCCAGGCTGCTTGCGCGTCTCAGAGCTTTGAAACAATGGAATTATTGCTGGAAGCTGGTGCCGATGTTGATTCATATGGAGATCATGATCTCAAGACTATACAAGCCTATTCAAAGGAGGATTGGCTTGATGCTGAGCTACCTAGAGAGAGGTATGATACTGCTTTGCAGTCGGCTACAGTTGCCAACAGAATTGATGTTGTGAGGCTTCTGCTACACTTTGGTGCCAATGTCAATCAACGGGGGAGTGAATACCAGACTGCTCTATATACTGCTGCAAGGTTTGGGAGAGCTGATATTGTGAAGTGCTTAATAGATGCCCAAGCCAAAGTCACACTCAAGGGGGGTGTCTATGGGACAGCCCTCCAAGCTGCCGCGGCTGGGGGATGGACTCAAATTGTGAAGATGCTGATAGACGCCGGTGCGAATGTCAATGCACATGGAGGTATTTTTGGAAGTGCCCTCTGTGCTGCTGCTTCAAAGAAGCACTATGATATCGCGAAGGCCCTCATTGAGGCTAGGGCCGAAGTTCATGATCAAGTCGGCCGCAATCCCCCCCGCTCTAGAGGCTGCTGTCAAATCCAGAAGCGCCGATATTATGCGGCTTCTATTGGATACCAATTCCAACGTTACCCTACATAAAGGGAGATATGGTCGGGCTCTGTTTGATGCACGGGAGGAGAGGTTCGAGGAGGGTGTTGAGATCCTAGAGAAGGCTGGTGTAGTAGTGGAATGGGATACATTTGAAGGTGTTCGCCTGGAGGATCTTAGGAGTAGATATAACTTGAACGTTGATATTACCCAGCACTCAACATACGGTGACTAATGTTTACACCCCATTTGTGGAATAGAATATCTTATATCTTAGCCTACCACCGTGCTAGTAACACAAGTGTATTGCCTTTGATCTTATCCAATGGCGTCACAATGCTCCTCGCTATTCGTGAAATGACTTGAGATATGTAAAATAAAGTAAGTAAAGAGCCGCTTGAATGCTAAATATCGCAGTTATCACCGTTCATCTAGCTTACGATTATAAAAGGTATCCAAGCGAGTTTTATTTTAATTTTGCGCGGGTTGAGGAGTAGGTAACCTATCGCAGTTAGCAACACACCCCCCAAAACCCAAAAGCCAATACGTACTTGAGAAGTTCAAACATCTTATACTTCTGCAGATACTTCGTTCCCCTCCGATACGCCTTCAAAAGACGGTCAGGATTCTCAGATTTCGCAGAAGTCCCAATGATCCGGCTCATTGCAGGCGATGTTTTGAACATAGGGTCGAAGACGAGCAGATTAGCGGTGCCATTGTCGCGAATCTCGAATCCGATGATCGTCATTGAATGACCTGGTCGTATTAGTATCGGGGTCGGAGAAAGTGGATGGGTCAAGCTATAGGAAAAGCTGAGAGAAGACTTTCACTAACCTTGATGCTGGAAGTATATCGGGGGTAGATCAGTCATGAAGATCTTTTTCTCGTCTTCCAGCGAGCAATTCGAGCGGTAGTAAGATGCTACATCCTGATACAAGGCGTCGTGTGCTCGCATATCGCCCGCTTCACTCAAGCTACTCGCGCCGCATCTAAGGTAAGCACCTGATGTTAGCCCGACCCGCCGCACTCGTGGTCCATCAAACTTACGGAATACCAAGGCTCATAAAGAGTGCTTGCGCCTACCACAATATCAGCACATCCCCATTCCAAAAAAATAAAAAAATAAAAAAATAAAAAACCGCAAGAAACCAAGGTGTGTAAAATACCAACCTCAGGCGTCCCAATAAACTTCCTCGTCCCTCGAATTCCCCCCGTCTCCGTCCTGCCCGAACTATTGAACCCCAAATCCCACGCCCGCTCAATCAAATCCTGCAATTCCAAAATAGAAGGCACACCCTCTCGAAAATGCTCACACCCGGGACCCCTCGCCTTAACAATCCACGAAACAAGCATTTGAATATTGCGATACCCGCAAAACCCACCCTCACGGGGCATTTTACAGACATGCCGCACCTTGGGACTGCATAGAAAGACGCGCTGCGAGGACTGATCTTGCTCGCAGAGTTTCGCTATGACGGGGATCAAATTCTCTGTTTCGTTTTCTACGCTCGTGTGGCGGGATAATTTGCCGTCGGTCGTTATTCGGGTTTGTTTTGAAGTGCGGCCGCCTTTTTCTAACATTTTTTTCAGCCAGGTTGGCATTTTTTTTTCGTGAGCGTGCGGGCCTAGTTCGGAGCGCTGTGGTTTAAGTTGTTAGATGGCTGTTTTCTCTTGTAGGGGGATATGCCCTATAAGCCGGTATAGTTAGGTAGGTAGGTAGGTGGGTAGGTACTTACCCCGAGCCGTTTTACGCCGTTCGGGTCTGGTTTGCCGACGGGGCTGTGGCTGCGTGGTTGGGTTTGTTTTGACGTTGGGCGAGCAAAGGCTCGGTCGGGGCCTCTTTTGCTGCCTTTTTGGCTCACGGGGTAGTCTCTGTCTTCTAGGTCGGTGGGTATGTCGGGTTCGCTGGAGAGTTCTGCATTGAAGGGACTCTGGACTGCGCCGCAGTCATCTAGCGCGATGCCTTCTGCGACATGTAGGTCGAGATGAGTTGCCAGTTCGGCGGTTGTAATGGTCTCGCCACATCCGTGCGGACAGTCGATGTATTTCTCTGTAGAGTCTTCGTCTACTGGGGATGTAGACGGGGATGGGCTGGGATTTTCGAATGCGGGGGAATCATAGTGCGATGGTGAGGCACCTCCTTCTGGGTGGCAGTATTCAATGTGTTGCTCCACGAAGGTCGCATCTTGGTCTGAGAAGGGACAGAATGGACATGATGGGGTGATGTGATCGGTCATGGTGACGGTTCTGTTCTTCGGGGATGCTTGAGATTGCCCCGGGTAGGAGATGAGATGGGGTGGATTTATCCCCAAGCTAGGTGCGAGAGGAGCCTGATGTAAAATCAGAGTATAGAGTTATTTGGCGTTTTATTCGATGTATGTAAACTTCTGGGCTCTGGGTGGCTTGGTTTCTCAAAATGTCAAAATGTAGCGGTGCCTGGAGGTGGTTGCGGGTGAGACCCACAGACAGTCTCGCCTGATCTATAAGGTTGTTACTGTGCTGTTAGGACTCTAGGGCCATGTTTATCTAGTTCTCTAGTACTCTAGTACTCTAGTAATACTCTGATAAAAGCACACAAATTACCACTTGCTAAATTGAAATTAATGTCACATTCATGGTTAATCAATATCCCTTTCCCTATTTGCTCCAGTAAGACACATTATATATCGAATTTGTCATCCAGTTGATAGTTACTAGTAAGACAATTTAGACTCCGGAGCTACACTAGGGTACCCTGGGGTACTACTAGCGATTAGAGATCAAGAGAACGGGATCAAATAAATCCAAAATCATGAGAGCTAATCAGAATCTCGTTAAATGGCTCATACCTAGGTATTGTACCTAAGTAGATCGGGCATGAACCGGAGGCGGCGCGATGCCTAATGCGGTTCAGGAATGTATAGATCCATGGATGCGGAAGTGGCGAGTACAAAAGTGTACTGTGTAACTAATAGTACACACAAATCATTAATAGATATATCGAGGATAGATATGTTATGGTGTCAAATGATATAAATATAATATAAATATAAATATAAATGTTAAATGTACACAATATCAATACTATACTGCTATACTGCTACACTACGTCATGAATGGCGTGATTGGCGGGGCATCTCCGACATCGCGTTCCTGGAGGGGAAGGCGGAAAAACTCAATTGACTGACTCACCAGAAAAAATTATCGGCTTTGGGGAATTGTTCAAGGCCGCTTTGCTAGGCCCACTCCTCCGCTTTCGCTGTTCTTGCTTTTGCTCCTCTTCATCTTCGCATTTCGTGTTTGTGGTTATGGTTATGGCTTCCCTTCATCCAGATCAGCCGGCACCCGCCGCCTTGCATAGCAATTGGGTCGTCCAAAAGTTTGGTGGCACGAGTGTGGGCAAGTTCGCTTTGAACATTATCCAGCAGGTTGTCGAGTATGTTGATACCCCTCCTTGCACCGCTTCATGACGACGACTCGACCTCGACCTCACCTTGACCTCGCAAAACATCCTTACTAACCTTCGCGACTAGACCCAGTCTCATCGATAACCGTGTCGCTGTCGTCTGCTCTGCCCGAAGCAGCTCTACCAAAGCCGAAGGCACCACAAACCGGTGAGTCATGGCTCTTGTGAAGCATCTCCCAAATGGAAACACCATCCTGAATCACACATTATACGAACACCCCTCACGAGTCACCTCGCAACCACTTCCAACCACCCCCTCCACCCCCACCACCCGCAATCACCATTCTAACGTTTCCCCTCACAGGTTACTGCGGGCAGCCCGGGATGCGGAGAACTCCCGTTCACGGCAATATGAAGTCCTAGTTGAAGCCGTCCGCCTAGAGCACACGCAAGTGGCTCAGGAGCAATTAAAATCCGTCGACCTGAAAGAGCAAGTGATATCAGACATTAACAGCGACTGCTCCCGAGTCCTAAAAGTCCTCGAAGCGGCCCAAACCCTCGGCGAAATCAGCGCCCGCTGCGTCGACAAAGTGATCAGCACCGGCGAAAAACTAAGCTGCCGCCTCATGGCCGCCATCCTCCAAGACCGCGGCGTCGACTCGCAATACGTCGACCTCTCCGAAATAATCGACTTCCCCATCGGCGCCCAAGGCCTCGACCAAACATTCTACAACTCCCTCGCCGCGGCCCTGGGCAAGAAAGTCGCCGAGTGCGGCCACCGTGTCCCCGTCATCACGGGCTACTTCGGCACCATCCCGGGCGGCCTCTTGGACCAGGTTGGCCGGGGCTACACAGACCTCTGCGCCGCACTCGTCGCTGTCGGAACTCACGCCAAGGAACTCCAAGTCTGGAAAGAGGTCGACGGTATCTTCACAGCCGACCCGCGCAAGGTCCCGACAGCACGACTCTTACCTGCAATCACGCCCTCCGAAGCCGCAGAATTGACCTTCTACGGCTCAGAAGTCATCCACCCATTCACAATGGAGCAAGTAATCCGCGCCCGGATCCCAATCCGCATCAAAAACGTCATGAACCCACGCAACAAGGGCACAATCATTTTCCCCGACTCCCCCGCCGAACTGGAACGCACGCCGGGCCACGACCCGCGCCTATTCCGCACGCGGAGCCCAAGCCTGGTGCAGAAGCCCAAGCGTCCCACAGCCGTGACGATCAAGCACAAGATCCTGGTTATAAACGTGCACTCTAATAAGCGCTCTCTCTCGCACGGGTTCTTCGCGGGCATTTTTTCCGTGCTGGATAAATGGCGGTTGTCGATTGATCTTATTTCGACGAGCGAGGTGCACGTTTCGATGGCGCTGCATTCGGAGGCGCCGCTGCTGAATGGGAATGGGAGGGACGAGTATCAGGTCATTGACGATGATTTGAAGGGGGCGCTGAATGATCTGGGTAAATACGGGACTGTTGATATCATTCCGGAGATGGCGATTTTGAGCTTGGTTGGCAAGCAGATGAAGAATATGGTTGGGGTTGCGGGGCGCATGTTCACCACCCTTGGAGAGAACAATGTGAACATTGAGATGATTTCGCAAGGTGAGTTTTGATTTGGTCTGAGACTGAGACTGCGTCTTGGTGTTGGTGGATGTCGGGTATCCCTGAATTGTTAAGGCTGACTTTTTCTCCTCTTTCCCCCCTGCAGGTGCGAGTGAAATCAACATCTCCTGCGTCATCGAGGAGCGCGATGCCGACCGCGCTCTTAATATCATTCACACCAGCATGTTCACTTTCTTGGACTGATGTCCGTGGCGGTGAATAATGAGTCATTGTCATTTGAGATATCCCATGAGCCGGTACTACGTCTGGTTCTGCTTTGCTTTGCCTTTGCCTTTTGATTGCTTTGTTTTATATTTAGAGAAAAGTCGGCGTGCATCAGACACTCTGTCTCCCCTATTCTCTGCGTCTCACTTTTTTTTTTTTAAAAAAAAAAAAATCAAGTGAGTCGAGAGAGAAAGAGAAGAGAGAGACACTGAGGTCATTCAGCATCGTGTTCTTTTCTTCTTTGCGACGCATGGATGTGGCGTTTTGTGGATTTGCTGCAGATAGATTTGACGATCCCTGAAGGGGGAAGCGGGGACAGAGATAAACCTTTCTGTTGGTTTAATGGAGGATACAATATGGAGTAGGCTATACGCTGTATATTGGATATGAATGGATTATTTATTAGAAGTTTCCAATGATTGCGTTGGGTGGCTGTAAGGAAGTACTAAAGTTGCATAAAGGGAAGCAGGTACGAGTACGGAGTACGGAGTATCAATGTACGCAATGCACGCAATGCACTGCAAAGGTAGGTACCAAAGATTCTATCAGTACGGAGTACCCTAATCCTAAGAGGTATTCTGTAAATAGTCGTGTTTCTAGATCTGTGCTTTCAGCCTAGGGTACGGAATACCTAGGTACGATTAGGGTTGGCTTGGGTGTTCAGGGCACATGCACGAATAAGTCTTTGAGTGGCTACGAGTGGCTACTGGCTACGGAGTACATACTACTGACTACTGACTGACATCGGGATAGGCATGGATTGAGTCAAGGGTCCTGCAGGAAGGAGATCCTCCGTCGATCATGGCCAATGGCTGGGGAGAGCAAGGGATGATCCGACGCGACGGCTGTCTCAGAGTTACATCCGCATTCCTGACGTGTACCAATGGGGGGAGGGGGCAGGGGGGAATTAATTATTTAATTATAGAAAGAGGAAAGCCAAGAGAATGGGCTGATATATACGGAGTGTCCGAAAAGGAGGACGTTGGTACTATGTAGGAATAAGCGATGGGGAAAGTGAGGAAGCTAGGCTAGTCAAGCCGAGCGAGTCTGGACCAGATCGAAGATAACCTCGGATCCTCCTACGCTAGATCCCAGCAGGGTACGGATATGATATAATATGATCTCAGGGTGGAGCATCTACTAGCACATACTTCATACTTAATGTTGGTCTGATCCGCATGCCAAGCAAGGAGCAATCCCTTCATACATGAAGGGAACCAAGGTATTGTCAGATCGTACACTGTAATATGGTATTGTCAGTGCCAAGCCCAATACAAAGTCGCGTGACGCGTCCGCGTAGATACCATACCATACCTGTATTGTCCTCTGATCATACACACATGGCCCTCACATCTTCCCTCGATCTTCCTCTTTTCATTACCATAGTATAACTCCCCGTACTCCAGTTACTCCTACTGTAATCACCTCACTCCTCCCCCCCCCACCTCTTTCCCCCCTCTTGGACTCTCAGCCTTCTTCGCGTTCAAAGGGATCTTAAGAAACAAAAAGAGGGAAAGCACAGAAGACAAAAGGGACGCGACTTCCAGGCCTCCTTGACATCTACTTTGTGCTCTGCTGCCTTCCCTCTTCTTTCCCAACTCACCTCACTTTCCACTTGCCACTTTCCACCATCACCATCTCACTCTACTCTGCTCCCCCCTACGAAGACCTTGATAGAAAGAATTGCATCTACCTGAACAGAATTTCGGGGATTTCCCTACTTTGCAGCATCTCGCTCGTGGTGATTTCCACAAAAAGAAAACGAGTTCCCCATCTCCATCCGTCGATTCGAGTGGCCCATATTGGACCTATCACCCGGTCCTAGCGCCTTGTGGCCCAACGCTTGCAATCACGACTAGTCTACCTGCATGACGGCCTGAGGTTGCTGACTATCACCTCCGTTCTGCTCCATCATTGGCTCGACGCGAATTCTCTTCACCTTCAATCACCCGTTGGACTCGGGCGCCGCTGAACCCGCCTGTTTACGCCTTCGCCCCTCCCATCACGCCGGCAATTGTTGATTTCGACGCGTCATATGGTCCCTATTGGTGACTGCTGACGATTCCGCATCGTTCCCTACCCTTTGGATTATGGGATCGACGCGTCCAGCGCTCGGCGCGCACAATTCCCCGGCGCTGGCCTTGGCCCCATCTGCAGAGGCACCCATCAAATCGCAGCCCCGACTCCAACCCTCACCGCTACCACTGCAACCCATTGAAAACTCATTCCATCCGTCTGGCCCGCACAGGCCATCGCCGACAAAAGGCTTTCCTGTCCACGGCGCGCATCCGGGACGCAAACTCGGTTTTGTTCCCATCTCCGCTCCCGCTCCTCCCATGTTCACCACCGACTCCCCGGCCAAGAAACCGCCTTTCCCCATATACGCCCAGTCTTCGATGCCGCAGTCGGCTCTCTTCACGACCTTTTCCAGTGTTAACCCCGAATCAAAGGAGAACGTACGCCCGGAAGATTCCCTCAATGGCAGTTTTGCCGACTTCCCTGAACCGTCCTATGAATCGAAGCTTCCTATGAAGCGCACACTGATGGATGCTGCCCCGCTCAAGGAGCGCTCCGTCAAGAAGCAAAAGCGCGAAGACGCGCCGATAAATCACCTCCCCGAACCTCATGAGATGCCGCCTATCGAGGACGACGGCACGAAGCCGCCGTACAGTTACGCTACTCTGATCGGCATGTCGATTCTGCGCGCACCCAACCGCCGGTTAACTCTGGCCCAGATCTATAAATGGATCTCGGATACGTTTTCTTATTACAAGCACAGCGATCCAGGTTGGCAAAACAGCATTCGTCACAATCTCAGTTTGAACAAGGCTTTCATCAAACAAGAACGACCAAAGGATGATCCGGGCAAGGGCAACTACTGGGTCATTGAGCCAGGGATGGAATTGCAGTTCTTGAAGGACAAGCAAGTTCGTCGTGCCACGATGTCTAGTCTACCCCTCCCCGCAGTACCACAGAGAGATCTCGCCCCTCAACCCCAGAGTGCAAGTACGACGACATGGATGGTACCACCACCACCCGCGCGACCACTTCCACCACCTCCAAAGGCCTCGCGCAACGACGATCTCTCGTCTGATGCCACCTTGCCTGCGTCCGATCCTGCCTTGCAGGAGGACGCAAGTGACGAGGTTATTCATGCACCTCCACACCACACCGCCCCCCTGCGTTCATCCCCCCCCACAGGCCATTCGATCTTCTCCTCCCATCGCTCCTCCCAGATTCTCTCGTCAAGGCACCCCTCCCACACCTACTCATCAAGCTGGCCCTACCCCTGCTCAACGTCCTCGCAAGCGCAAGTCCATCACCATGAATGACAGTGGCTACTTCTCCTCCCTTGAATCCTCCGCCATGCGTCCTAACAAGGCTGGCCACATCCTCACCTCTGATCTTGACATCGAGCCTCCCCGTATTAAGCGTGGTCGCGCCGAAGAGGAGATTGCCCGGATCCGCAGCTCGTCGCATGATGTTAGTCCTGGACAACCTGCTGCCCGCAAGGATGCCAGCACCATTGTTGGATCTTCGCCTCTGCGTGGAGAATATGTCAGCATGCTCCCTCCGCCATTAACGCCCATAATCAAATTCAAGAAACCGGCGAAGCCCCCACCGTCGGTCTCCCCTAATACCAACCTACGCAACCACCGGCGGAAAATTCAGCAAATGGTCAACTCCCCGATTAAGCATCTGGGTCTGGCTGAAGATGACCTCCCTTGGAGCCCGGCATTCAACCTTCATGACGAGAGCTATACTCCCCATGACCACTTCCACACCACCTTTGACGTCTTCGCCGACGCCCATACACTGCACGTTTCCCCAGCCGCCTGTGGCTCACCGGAAAAGCGCTCTGTCAAGCGCCAGCGTATCGACACTAGCAATAACGCATTGACTGATATCACCTCAGTGAATGTTAACACTCGACTCGGTGTCCCTGCCCTTGCGCGATCTAAATCTGCAGTTTTCCCGGAGTCTCCTTCGAAGCTCCCGGAGACAGGTCGACTGGGCGAAACCAGCCAAGACGACTTCTTCTCTTTCCACCTCTTCGACGAGAGCAATAACAGTCCCGATGAGGTTGATGGTGTCGATCTTCTCCAGGGCTTCCAAAAAATCGGAGGCACTACAAAGGACGATTCCCTCAAGCCAAAGTCCTTGTACTCGCGACCTCACCTCACTAGTCGCAGCAACACCACCTTCTTCTGAAAAAAAACTCATTCCGATTGTTCTGTTTTAATAATGTTCTGTGTTGGACCCCATGGGACACCAAGACATACGCTGATACTCCCCTCCGCATTTTGACATGACTTCATCCTTTTACCCCACTGCACTGGCGCTATGCGATATTCTACTTCCCCGGCTGTTCTGTTCTTGTTTTTACTTTCCGCGATTGCCCACCATCCCGCTTTTTGTTACCCCTTTTTCCTGCGTTTGGGTTCGATGGAGTTGGAAATGGATTGTCACCAGGTTTTTGTTTCGATTGGGCGGTACACATTCTTTTTGGGAGTTTGGGAGCGTTTTTTACCAGTGCGCTCTGGGCTGAGCTGAGCTCAGCTCATCCACGCTGGTTTCTCTCCGATTTTTATCTCCCCGCCTTCGATGCTGGGCCCGGGATGGCCATCTTGGCCTGGTTACGACCTTAATGACGATGCTAAGATGTACATGAGCAAAGCGATGCTTTCATGATTTGGGATATGGGATGGGTTTTGCGATTTACTTTTATTCTTTGGCGATGGTTACTTTAGTTAGGATGGATGGCAGGATGGATGGGATGGGATAGGATACATGGAGGCGCTATTGATTATGTAGCAATTTGAATTCATATGATGATTACTGAATCTTTACCGCCAGTAGATATTTTCTTTTGCGAGTAGATCTAGGCTTCAGAGAATACGCATAGCTAGGTACTCACTTCGTACTAGTAATGGTCTATATCTATACAGCACCGTCACCCTCGCGCAAGGGCCATGTTTGACCACAGCGGACTGACTATCCTCGTTGAAGATCTACTACAATATTATCAAACTTTTAGCCCTACGAGTCGTACTACCGTACTATACGGGCATATCTGGAATCCCCACCGAAGAACTCATCCCTCGAACCAACTTGAAGTAAAGGGTATCAGATTAAACCAACGACAAAACGCAAAACGCCCATCCATGTTTCCCCCCAATCCAGCCTAGCCTACCAACGTAGTCAAGTCAAGTCAAGTCAAACTAATCACTACTAGCACAACCCCGGCACCCACAACTAACGCACTGAATTGACTGGTCCTCTTTCAACTGCGCCTTCGGAACGCGGCAGATGCATGTTGCGTTGAAATTCGTTTCCTTGGACTGTACGCAGCGGAGGCAGCAGAGCTGTAATACGTGGTTTATTAGCGAGAGTTCCTATGGGGTTGGGGTTGGGTGAAGGGTGAAGGGTAGGGGTACCTTTTCATAACCCTGCTTCTTCCACTTTGCGATTAAATTCGCGTCGGCGTAGTTATTCTTTAAGAGCCAGTCGTAGAGTTGTTTGCTTATGGCTTCTTTTTCGTAGTATAGGTCGTAGATATAGCGGGAGCCTGTCGCGGCAATTAGTATCAAATCGAATCAATATCGACATCAACCTTATGGCTTGAGTCGGAGGGGGAGAGGGGCAGAGGGGAGAGGGAGGGCTCTTCTGGACGTAACGTACGCTGATGACTGATTTGGAAGATCGGCCAGAGAACCTCGTATTTCTTTTTTCCTTCGTGGGAGGCGTTCTCCGCGTCTTTCATTTTATTGCTGAATTCTAGGAGCGTGTCCTCTAGGTCGTCGAAGCCTGCTGGTGGCGGTTTGCGATTGCGGGACGTGCGGATTGGAGGCATGGTTGCGTGGGAAAGACTGGATCGAAACTGTTCTGTTCGGGCGGAGATGATGATAGCGCACGTAAGCCTCGAGCGAAAGACGAGCTGGGAGAGAGAGAGAGAGAGAGAGAGAGAGAGAGAGCGCGAGTGAAGCGGCGGGCGGATGAGATGTCGATATCAGATCAAATCAGACAGCAAGGTAGCTTGGCTGAATGTAATATAATTTCTCGGAGATGGGGGGGCGTTCTGCCGGTTCTTACCGCCTACGATTTTGCGGGCGAAGCTTCGCTGCGGACGGAGCGTCACTGCTGCCATTGCATCTTATTAAAACAATTGAGCGGCAACACTTTCTCCCATCTCCATTTCATTTACATTTTCATTTTCATTTACGCCTCCGCTATATTTTCATTCAAAATGGATCCCCAGACTCAGATGGATATCTCCAACCTCAGCGAGGCGGATAAGAAGGATCTGAGCCAGATCCTGCAGAACGAGTCGCAGAAGACGACCATCCAGCAGTGTGAGTTGCAGCATCGCATCGAGAAGTCACCAGGCGGGGAAATGATCAGACAGGAAGCTAATGGATTCTGATTCTTACTTTAGCCGTCCACCAACTCAGCGACATCTGCTTTAAGAAGTGCATTGCCGGCCGCCCTATTACCTCCGGCGCTCTGGATCGGAGCGAGGAGGCTTGTGCTGAGAACTGTGTTCAGCGGTGGATGGATACGCAGACTTCTATCATTACCAAGTTGCAGAATATGCGCGGGTAGATTGGTCACCTCTCCGGGGTGAAGTTTGATTTAATTGAAGTGGGTGGATTGGATTGGATTGGATCTGGCCTTGGCTTGGCTGGGGCTTTCTGTCGGTCCGTCCTGATAGCAATGGCTGGATTGGAAGAGGATGCGTTGGAACATACCGTCACTGGACTTTGACTTTGATGGTTTTGAGGTCCTTGTTTGGCGCCTGTCGTCCTGGCTAGCGGTGGAGTCTGGTGAGACTCTTCGACTTTATGTCGCTTGTATACTAGAGACAATGAATGATCTCCCTTGTATAAAAACTTTTGTCTACTATGGTTTATCCTAAATCTTGTGTACCTTATTTGTATACCAGGACAAGTACTGTGTAAAGAAATCGGGATATCTGGGTATGAATTCATAGTTGTCGAAGCTAGGAATGACTCGGAAAATACCAAGGTCGCAGCCAAGGCATTGACCTTATGTCAGGCCATACATAGACAGCACAATGTCGCTGGGAGATGTTAGTGAATAACGACTGATAGATCAGCCACACTACCCAAAGTGTAATCAGCAAAAATACGAGAGTTAGTACGGGCTACAGGCACATCTACGACGAGTTGATCCATTTGAATCGTGTCAAGAAATGTTTCTTTTTTAATCATTCAGCCCTTGATGCCGCTGATACAGCCAAGGAACCGACCGGTATTGAGAATCACCGCGGTGGAAAACAACCTTCGCCCAAACCCAAGAAATCCATCTCCTTTCCCTTTTTAGACGATGGCCAGCTTGGTGGCGGCGATGTCAAGAGCATCGACGTCAGGGGTCAAGCGGGCGAAAGCCTTCTTGGAGCCGTCGGGGCTGTAGTAGATATGTTAGCAAGATTCATTTTTTTTGCGCGATTGCGCTGATGAGTGGGATAGGAACATACCGGATCAGAGTGTTGACCTTGACGGTGTCAACGTCGTACAGCTTCTTAATAGCGGCCTTGATCTGGCGCTTGTTGGACTTGATGTCGACAATGAAGACCAGGGTGTTGTTCTCCTCGATCTTCTTCATGGCGCTCTCAGTGTTGAGAGGGTACAGAATGATCTTCTGGGCGTCGAGCTGGGGCTGACGGGGGATGGAGACACGGGGGTACTTGGGAGACCGCGAGAGCTGCAGGGTCTTGGGGCGGTGGAAGGTGGTCGAGGTGCGAACCTTGCGGGACTTGTGAAGCTGTTGGTTGGCGGTTAGTATTTTTTTTTCTTGATTGTAATGAGAGACCCCGATCCCCGATTTGCGGGCAAGTCGGTCGATCGGGCCTCTCGAGGTAAAAAGGCATGGGCAAGAACTTACGGAAGATCCCTTAACAACCGCCTTGGCGGCAGCGTTGGCTATAAGAATTCATGTTAGTGGTGAGGTCTGGGTAGGTAGATGGTGATTTCTCGTGGAAGAAATTGCGAATCATGCGATAACAAAATGTGCCCAAGGATCGGAAGAAAAATATCGAGACGGAGGGAATTTCGCGATATGGTTGATATCTTCGAGAGCTAGTCGATCCCAGTGTGTCGCTGTCGCTGTGACCGTTGTGTTGTGCGTCGTTCTTCAAAGTGTGGAATTTTGAGATGCAACAATTTCAATTTCCTCTTCCTCCCCCGGGCACATTTTCACACGATTCGCAATTGAAAGGGAATGATGTAGAGAGGATTCGATTGCAAGCCAACGTACCTGTCTTGCTGGTAGGGGCCATGGCTGTCGTCGTCCGCTGTCGTGATGGTTGTCGCTGTGTCGATTGTCGAACAATTTGCCGTGACTTCGTTAAGCGAAAACCCTAGCGCTGTGTGGGTCAGGTGATCTGTGGCCAAGCCCACCTTAGTCATCCGATATGGCTGACTCAGCACTTTATTGCGGCTGTTTTTTTCTTTGATGCCGCTAGATTGGCTTGGAGATTGGGATTATTTGGCTTGTCGTTTAATTAGGCTTGATTAATTTGCCGGGATTGCTTTGCCGTGATAACTGTTTTCACCAACTTTATCATACATCACGCTGATCCGCTTGCTTCGCTGAATATCTACTTCCCGGAGTCTCGACATGGCTCCTAACAAGCGGTCCAAGAAACTGGGCTCATTGTCAAGTACTCGGCCGCCTACAATCAAATCGCAACATGCGGCATTATCATCCAAGGCCACGCGCACTTTGATCCGCTCTCACCACCAGCTCCTGAAAGCGCGAGCCCAAGCCGAACGAGCAGGCGACGAAGCCCTCAAAGCCAGCATCGACGCCCAAATCCATGCAAACGGAGGTCTGGAAAGCTACCAAACCGCCAGCAAAATCGGGCAATCCCTCGAGCGAGGCGGCGACTCCAGCAAACTTCTCCTAGACTGGATCAAGCCGCAACTCTCCACCTGGACCGCAAATCTCCCGAAACTCCGCGTCCTCGAAGTCGGGGCCCTGAGCACGAAGAACGTGATATCCAAAACGCCCTCATTGACCGTTTCCCGCATCGACTTGAACTCCCAAGAGCCGGGCATTCTCAAGCAAGATTTTATGGAGCGGCCATTGCCCGCTGCGGATGCGGACGAGGAGCGCTTTCATTTGATTAGTTTGTCTCTGGTGCTGAATTATGTACCCGACGCGACGGGGCGCGGCGAAATGCTCAAGCGCTGCGTCCAGTTCCTCGCGACGGATTGTCCCATCTCGCTTCCGCCGACTCTCTTCCTCGTTCTGCCTGTTGCTTGTGTGGATAATTCACGCTACGTCACTGAAAAGCGCCTGCTCGAGATCTTGGCTAGTTTGGGCTTCGAGCTTGCGCAGAGTAAGCGGACTAATAAGTTGATTTATCAGTTGTGGAATCATACCGGTGCCAGGTCACCGACGAAGTCGTTTAAGAAGGAAATGCTCAACCCCGGCCACACTCGGAACAATTTCTCTATTATTCTGAAAAAGGGATGAGAGGGAGAGATACAAAAACAGGCTTTATAATTCATCGAGAAGAAGAAGTAAATGCGAGGCAGGGAGAACGGGGGGAAAAGGCAAAGCGCCGGGCTGGCCTAATTGCCAGAAATCAACTCGCGGGGCAAGAATGCCCAAACAGTTCCCACAGCCGCCAAAATCGTGGATGTGATCAACAAGAACCAATCGAAAATTCGCTCGCGCCGACTGATCTCCTTGCCGAAGATCTTCAAATAAAATGCAAGTGGGAATATGATGCAAATGGTAAAGCACAAGAATGATCCCAAGAACGCCATGATCCTGTCAAAGGACGGGAAAATAATGGACAAAATGACGGTGAGAGCGACGGTGAAAACACGAACTGCGATTCGGAGGAATTTCTGCTCGTTTTCGCCGGGTTGACCGTGTCCTGGGGCTTTCACGCCGCAGAGGACTTCAAAGGTTGCCACCAAAGGTCGAGCACTGCTTTTGTTAGCGGGTGTGGTTTTCCAATTTGGGGTTGCTCGGGTTCAACTCGGGTCGACTCACTTTAATGGGACTTTGGTCAGCGGGATGATGGCGATGAATATTATAATACAGATTGATATGGCTTTCGGATACTCGTCCAAGCTGAGGATGTTGGCGGTGACTTCGTCGTGGACGCTGTCTCCAAACATCAGCCATCCGATGATGGCCATGGAGCAGTCGAGTGAGAACTGTTTTTATTAGTCATGTGGTGTCCAGGTGTATGCATCTGTCTGTTTTAATTCCAACTTACTGTAAATATATAAGTGGCCCACAGGCTCTTTCCATACTTTCGTGGATGACGCATGTCGCGGTAGATATTGGGAAAGACACCATGGCCACCCCAGGGAGCTAGAAAATGGTCAGTTACTTGAAAGCAGACCAGTCCAATTCTCCAACATACACATAATTAGACCAAAACTCAGAGGCAAAGTAGCCCAGTTCTCAGGGAATATAGTCGTTTTGGCTGGCTGGCGCAGGGAACCCGGCGAATCAGGTTTAATCAAACCATCAACACAAATGAGGAGCACGACTAGGTAGGCCTGGTTAGTCTCGGAGGCCTAGTTTGGATGTGTACCAACGCCACTCACTCGATGTGCAAGAAACGATGCCCAAAATGCTGGTCACGCTGAGAAACCGCAGCGGCAGAAAGTTCAGCGGGATCAAGACAATCCCACAAACAATCTTCCATTCCAGAATACTAAGACTAGGAATCAAGGCGTACAAACTGTCCGCAAAGAGCACAACCAACGCAACACAAGCCCCGAGCAATTCCAAACAGAAGAGAAAGCTAGTGAGCAACCGCGCCTGCTGACCAAAACTGATATACGCCAGATCCGCATACGTGACAAGAGTGCGATCCACATCCAAACACTTGGCCAGAATTTTGGCCGTGTAAGAGGTAGTTAGAGCGGAGTATACCAGGAACATGAGTCCCAGTAGCCAGCCAGCTTGCTTCATCGCCAAGGGAAGACTCAACAGCCCGATCCCAATAAGCACATTGACCGAATTGAAAATCGTCTGGGGAACAGTAGACTGCCCGACCACAATATCCTCCTGTGTCCCATCCTCGTGCTGAACATGCTTCAAAAGCAACGGCTCCCGATCCGGATCACCCAGACCATCACCAACCTGCTGCTCCTGGTGGAATTTAATCGCATTCCGTCGCGCAGACTCGCTCACCCGTGAAGAAATCGTGCCATAAGAGGCGGCGAAACTTCGGTCCAGAGAAGAAGCCAGGAGTCCCGCGCTGGGAACCCCTCTGTTCCGTCTACCGGAGTCGGTATCGTCGTGATCATTAGCGTCGTCAGAGTCTTCCGAGAGAAGAGGGCGCTCTATATCGGAATTCCGCCCAATGGATGGGAAGGAGCTACGTGTATAAGCATAGTCATAATCCTGACCCGTCGCAATGGCAATATCATCGTCTGATTCTGCGTCAATGAAGGAATTGCGTCGCGGTAGGACCTCTGGGAAGCAGGCAGCTCGTTGCCAAGAGCGGGCGAAATTGTCGATGCTGTTCGGGCCGCCGGCCTGGCGAATCCGCGAGAACGAGGATGATCTGGATTTGTCAGGGAATAAGAATACGAATGTCGATTTGCTCGAACTATAGCTTACCTTTGTCGGCCCCAGGTTTCTGCCTCGGTTATCGTGTCTCGATCGAGGTTACCGTAGTCGTAGGAGTTGGGGATCCTTAGTGGGCCGAAGGTAGCCTCGTCTTCGTTCCTGGCAGCCATTTGAGTTTTTTTGCTAGGCCAGAAGACGGGCTGTAATCGACTGAGGGGGGAGTGTGAGCCTTTTTAAAGAGAAGAAGAGAGGAGAGATAAGAAATGGAGACTAGGGTAAGTTCTAGGGTGGCACGGGGACAGAAGCTTCCTTAGAGAAGGTGCTAGCCAAGTGTGGGGTGATAAGTTTGATAGCGTTCAAAGTTGCTGATAAGCGGTATTACTCGCAGGGAGAGGTAACCATTTGATTTTGAACTACGGATTATTCTATATACTACTTAGTATCTTACATAGTGTACATAGTATATCATACTAGCTTGTATAGACACATGGGGAATCCACTTTCAGGTACCACTTTTATACCCATACGTATCCTTAGTGGTCCTATAAGACGATATCGGAGATGCGCCGCCCGAGAGGAGGCAAAAAAAAGATTAAAATAAGAGAGACTAAAAGCTAGAAAAAGAAAAGAAAAAAGAGGCCTAACTGGGCTGAAACCGGGCTGCACTGCACGTCAATCCAAGCCGCAGTTTGATTGTGGCCACCGAAGAATCTGTAGCCATGTGCAGGTGGCGGGTATAAGTACCGGTACTTATATTACGGTTATAGACACCATATATAAGTAAGTATCGGTACATCAATAATTTCCGCTTACCTCAGCCCACTCACCCAACCCCACGGTGCCTGAGGATTTTTGTTGGACTCTACGTCAAAAGGTGTAAAGGTGTGTCTAGTCCCCCCCTCCTTGACTCTTGGATACTCGAGGTATTCCTATCCTCTCCTCCTCTTACTCGGTCAACTCACTAACACCCTTTTCCCTACCTTTCAGGTATTAGCCAAGACCCCAATCTTTGTCCGTTGTGGGTTTCTCGTTTTGTCGGGCGTGCACAGGAAAAAGCCATTGATACCCTTTCGATCCATTGCGGATCACCTGCGCTTCGCCCAAGATGAGCTCCCAGCAACAACAACAGCCGGGAGAGGCGGAGAAGAACATTGAGATCTGGAAGATCAAGAAGCTGGTCAAGCGTCTTGAATCCGCTCGTGGCAATGGAACTTCCATGATTTCTCTCATTATCCGTACGTCCACAATACCCCTCGCATAGCCGACTCGCTTTTTTCCTGGCTACAGGAGACAGAGAACTACTATGTATTATCCTACTCGGCACTGGCTAACTCATATACAGCCCCCAAGTCCCAGGTCTCTCAGGCGGCACGCATGTTGGCTGAAGAATACGTATGTTGCCCCGCCATTCAGCCTTTCCTTTCACAACCTTCCACACCCTGCCTCCCCCTCCAAAGTTCTCGACGCTAATATATCTTTGTGACACCACAGGGTACTGCCTCTAACATCAAGTCTCGTGTCAACCGTCTTTCCGTTCTGTCGGCCATTACCTCTACACAGCAACGTCTCAAGTTGTACAACAAGGTTCCCCCCCAATGGACTGGTCGTCTACTGTGGTGAAATTATCACCTCCGAGGGAAAGGAGCGCAAGATTAACATCGATTTCGAGCCCTTCAAGCCCATCAACACCTCCCTCTACCTTTGTGACAACAAGTTCCACACCGAGGCCCTGAGCGAGTTGCTCGAGTCCGACCAGAAGTTCGGTTTCATCATTATGGACGGTAACGGTGCGCTCTTCGGTACTCTGAGTGGAAACACCCGTGAGATTCTGCAGCGTCTGCAAGTCGATCTGCCCAAGAAGCACGTAAGTACTAGCAATCTACACCACATGCGTCTTTTCCGTCTTTCCCTTTTTTTTTCCACCCCATACTAATCACTGTTTGTGTCTCTAGGGCCGTGGTGGTCAATCCGCTCTGCGTTTCGCCCGTCTTCGTGAGGAAAAGCGTCACAACTACGTCCGCAAGATCGCCGAATTGGCTGTTCAGAACTACATCACCAACGACAAGGTCAACGTCGCCGGTATTGTCCTGGCCGGTTCCGCCGATTTCAAGAACGACCTCAACCAGTCCGATCTCTTCGACGGCCGTCTGGCCGCCAAGGTCATCAAGGTTGTCGACGTGTCATACGGTGGTGAGAACGGCTTCAACCAGGCCATCGAGCTGGCCGCCGAGACCCTCAGCAACGTCAAGTTCATCCAGGAGAAGAAGCTCATTGGCTCTTATTTCGAGCAAATCAGCCAGGACACTGGCAAGATCTGCTACGGTGTTGAGGATACCCTCAAGGCCATGGAGCTGGGTGCGGCTGAGATTCTCATCGTTTACGAGAACTTGGACGTTACCCGCTGGGTGCTGAAGGACGCCGCCGGTACCGAGACCATTATCCACACCACCAAGCAGCAGCAGGAGAACCGCGAGCTCTTCCAGGACAAGGAGACCGGTCTGGAGATGGAGGTCGTGGATTCGAGCTCCTTCCTCGAGTGGCTGGCTGAGAACTACAAGGAATTCGGTGCCAACCTGGAGTTCGTTTCGGACCGATCCAGTGAGGGTAACCAATTCGTGAAGGGCTTCGGTGGTATCGGTGCCATGCTCCGATACAAGGTCAACTTTGAACAGCTTGCTGATTATAGCGATGACGACGAGTTCTACGACGGTACGCACATCCTCCCCGTCCCTGTCGCCTATCCTTATTCTTTCGTTTCTCTTACTGACCACCCCACAGATTGACGGTTTAGCAACCTCGCAGAGAGCGAGGATGAACGGCCAGAAGCCCCCGCGGCAAGCCTTCTGACGGCTCGCCGCGTCGGACATAAAGGCGGCTCCGAGAATGGAACCCAGGAATCCGTAAAGGAATCCATCAACAGGCCTGTTCCAAACTCTGGCATGCTGCTCAGAGGTGCGTTTCTTTCCCTTTGCTTTCCCCTCTACCTTGACCTATCCCTAATTGTCAAATAGGGTCATCCAAGCTCTAAGATATACGCACACTGAGGCTACCTCAGTGTCGACGAACATGGAGGTGTAGTTTGCGAATTAAAAAGGTTGGATGCGATTCTCTGCAACATTTATGTCCACCCCCTCCCACGACCCTCCACCCAGCCTTCCAAGTTACTGTGCGAACCGCGAAAACGCCCACTCACCATGTATTTGCATTTGTGTTTGTGTTCGACTTTTGCGTGTCGCCCATACTAAAATAGAAAAAAGGGGGGGCTCGGGTGTGGCGGAAGTGGGAGGGGAAATTCTGGCTGTTTCTTTTTTCTCCTTTGCTCTCGGTCTCAATCCGGGGCCTAAACTTGCTTTTTTTCTTTTCTTCTGCGCAAAGTGTGGAAAGGAAAGAATGTAAGAAATCTTTTCTCCCAGATTGGACCCTTGGCTGTTTCTTTTATGATTTTTCCTTTTGTTTTGTTTTTTTTGCCTTGCGCGGATTTCCCTTGTTTCGATTTTCTATGGATTTTCTGGACTGCTGGATGGATGGGGGCTTGATTTGCTCTGTCCTTTTCTTTTTGGTCTTGGATTTTATAGGTCGGGACGGGAATTAAATTCAGCCTTTTCTCCATATTTTTTACCTCTGTTCTTGTAGACTGTGGACTACTGTACTAGTAGTAGGCTGGGCCGAAGCCTGAATTCGAGGATGATACTCATGTATGCATGGGCTTCACTATATTCTCTGGATGTAGATAGCGCGAAGACGAAGTCGCCACAATTTAAACTGTCGAACTATACAAAATCAAAACAATACCTCCCCTACCTACTACCCATACCTCCGAGCCAAACGCCTCATCACCTACAACTCAAGGTTAGACGTGTATGGCTTGCCGCTTCTGTTTGTATGGAATTGTTAAGTTTGAGAAGCTGGGTCTGTTATAGACTGCATGTTCTTAGCATCAGGATGACGGGCGGAGCTGACCCCCTCGGGCGGTTAGATCTAACGGAAGATCTATAGGGCGAACAATGGCATTCTTCTTGTAACGTGGTAGCGGCTATATGGAACGTGTATTATTCTTAGATTTTTATTACATTGTCTTCCCTCGATATCCCCTAAGCTCGTTATCCCGAGCGCCAATTGCCAATTCCTATACCTAGAATTGGAGTAGGATGCGGGTGCGAGTGCTCAGAATCTATGTCATATCGCCAAAATTACCATGTACCATATACATCAGTAGCCGCAACCAATATAGAAAACAATCCATCATTCTTGAATGAAAAGACCTACTCAGCAAGTCGTTCATCTTCCAAATAACGCATCAAATCCCTCAAAAACTGCAACGTGACGCAAGTCTCATTCCCCTTTTCCAAAAAGTACTCCCCCGGCCCAACCAACCACTCAACACTACCTACATCAGGCGAAAGAACAATTCTCCACGCGAGCAGATAACCAGCCACAAACCACGCAATGGCCTCTTGTTTATTCTGAAATAGAGGGGCGTGGTAGTCTCGTTCGAAGTAGTCATGATAGCAATCGATCCAGGCGAGATACCGCTCTTCAACGAGTTTGGGGAAGGAGTTGAATATCTCATCTACGTCCACGAAAGACTCTTCTCCTTCTTCTTCGATTATATCGTCGTTGCGCCAGAGAAAGTACGTTCCGTACTCGCTGGCAATCCGGTAGTGTCTGGGCCGGCTGGTGGGTGTGGTGGTGGGTGGATCTGAGTGTGTGGAAGTGCTTATTTCGACTGATTTCTCGATTTCGGGCCCGTTTGTGAGTTTCAATATTAGGCCGAATGTTGTTTCGATTTTGGCGGTGCTTTTGGCCGGGTCTTCTGCTTCTGCTTCTGCTTCTGCTTCTGCTTCTGCTTCTGCTTCTGCTTCTACCTCTGTTTCTGTCTCTGTACTGGTCTGGGTGGGAGTGCTTTGCGCTTCGAGGTTTCTGGCTGATTTGATGTATTGTTGGGACTGGGGCTGGGAGCTGAATAAAGCCAAGGGCTTCAGGATATCGAAAGGCATGTGGGAAGTCATGGCTGTGATTTGAAATGTTGGGAGGAGGTGTGCTGGAGTTTTATCAGTGACATTCGTTGGGTTGAGTCAATTTCAAAGTGAGTCACTTGTAAGATTGATGTTTTGATGCAGGGGCTGACAGACGACGTTTGTTCCGATAAGCAAGACGAAAGTGAAAAGGGAGAGCAGGATAATTCTCATCCGACGATTAGAAAGGAAAGGATCTAATATTATCCAAGACATCATGCATAAATTGGGTGAATTTAGGTATCGAAATATATGAATGCGAGTCAAGGCCCACACAATCTAAACGCTCACGCCCAACTGATCTTTCCAAGTTCCCAAATCTCTACATGACTCAGTAACACCTCTGAGATCATTCAAAGCGTTCAATACCGCATCGTCATTCTCAACACACGGTGTGCGACTGCACTCGACGAAGAAAATATACTGCCAGGCCCGTTTCAAACTAGGCCTTGTGTTGATACTCGTCAGATTCAACCCATGGGCCTTGAAAATGAGCAGCGCATTTGCCAGAGCTCCTGGCGAAGAGTGGTCGATCGAGAAGGAGATGAGAGTCTTGTGCATGACTGCGGAGTGGGTTTTCGCATCTCCATTGAGAACGGGCTGTTCGAATTCCAGCCCCGCTGTCCGGTCTGCGAGGATATTCCTCAGAATCAGGAAGCGGGTAGTATTATCCGCGCGATCCTCGATATTCTCCTCCAAAGCGTCGACGCCGTGATACTCGGCCGCGAATCGGCTCGCGATGGCACCTCCGCGCTCGTCGGCCTCGGTCTCTTTCGACACGATCTCCGCTCCTTTGGATGTAGACGAGACATCCTGCCGCTCGACGCCCTTGAAATATTTGGCCAGGAACTTGTCGCATTGGCCCCAGGCTTGCGGGTGTGTATATAACTTTGTGATTTTGCCGTCGTAGCTGGGTAGGCCACCCGGATATGAGCCCTTGTGGACGAGCAGACAGTGGTGGACGGTTAGGTAGTATTCGCCGCATACTTTGACATCTTTATATAGGTTTGATCGGTCGGCGAGGAGGTCTAGCGTTTGGACGACGGAGCCATTGGTGGAATTTTCGCAGGGGATCACGGCGTAATCGGCTTGTTGTTCTTGGACTGCGGCGAAGGCGTCGGCGAAGCAAACGTGGGGGAGTAACTCGGCGGATGTTTTAGCAAAGGATTCCGCGGCAGCCTAGTCAGTATCAGTGTTAGCGTTCACATAATCATAAGCATAAGCATGAGCATAGCCATTGATATGAGGATTATCAGATTGGCCGATTGGCAATAGATCGGGGATGCAGCGTTAATGCATAAGATGCAATGTGGGGGGGATAAAAGAGGGAGGCTAGAAATAACAAGCGCAAGCTAAGCATGATTGCATACCTGATGCGAGAAGGAGGCCAATGGGCCCAAAAAGGCCACCTTTAACTTTTCCGAAGACATTATTGAGGAAGAAAAGAATCCGGAGAGGAATCGAGGAGGAATGCCCATCAACATTGCTTTGAAGGAGACCGAGCGGTGTGGGTAACCTTTCATCCTTATTTCCATTTCCCTCGCCATTTCATTGGCAATTCGCCGGCATTGAAACCTGAGGAACAAGGCCAATCAGAACTTCCAAAGCTTAAAGCTAGGACCACGCGCGTCATTTCCTCGCAGACTCCGAAGTTCAATTGATTCCTGTCTACAATTCCAATGAGGTTGATCTCCTGCCGACCCTTGCTCGGGCGAGGTGCATCAGCAGCATCATACACATGTCGAGCTGCTTACTCGAGTACTTCACTCGCTATCAGACTACGTGATGAACTCACTACGCGAAAGCTCCCATTGACCTACGACTATCTACACCCTCAACCCTCACATCTTCTCAACCTCACCCTTGCCGACCTACTCGCGCAATCACAATCACAATCACACTCACGCTCAGACCCAAGCGAAACATCAAACGAAACACAGACTCAAGCACAGACTCTCCCAGTCCTCCCTTCAATCCAACGCCCCTCGCCGCTCCCGATCGCACATCACTTGATCTACTTCCCGCCCCAGGTATCCCTGTCGCAATTACTTCCCGACGGCACCGATATCCTCCATACCCCTGGTGATCCATTTAACCGACGGCTCTGGGCAGGTGGTAATATCCGCTTTCCAGGACCAGGCCCCCTCCTCGACGGCAGCCGGGCCGTCTGCATCGAATCGATCCGCAACGTGACCGTCAAGGGACGCGAGGGGGCGGAGAAGGTGATTGTCACTATTGAGCGACGAGTGAGCACGGTACCCGAGGGCGAGACGGAGGCGGAGAGTTGGCGACGCATTTGGACCGAAGATGAGACTTGTCCTGGGGAGTCGAGTCTTGTTGAGAATCGAGACTTGATCTTTATGCGGGCTAAGAGTGTGGATGAGATTCGGGCTGATCGGGAGTCGTTTGGGAGACCTGGTCGGATTGTCAAATGTGAGTGCATGCATGAACCGCTCTAAACTCGGGACCTGGCAGATCTACGTAGATCTGAGGCTAGGGGTAATGAGAAAAAAAAAGAAATGAAAAAGAAATGGCACTGACACAGACACTGACGGAAATATAGCGCCTTCTCATGCGACATTCCGTCATTCAATCTTGCCCACTAAGGCCCTTCTCTTCCGATTCTCGGCACTGACATTCAATGCACATTCTATCCATCTTGACAAGGATTATACCCAGAACCAAGAAGGATATCGAAATTGTCTTGTGCATGGCCCTTTGACTCTGACCCTGCTGCTCAGTGTGCTCCAGCGTCAGCTTCAACCACTCAATCTCCAAGTCAGCCATTTCGAATACAAGAATCTGGCGCCTCTCTTTGTTGAGGAGGAGTTGACTGTCTGTGGTAAGCCTAAGAATGAGAGTGGGGCTTGGGATGTTTGGATTGAGGGTCCTGATGGTGGGTTGGCTGTGAGGGGGACGGCGAAGACTTGTGAGAGAGCATGAGCATGGCATGGCATGGGCATGGGCTGATGCTTGCGTCTGTGACTGTGCTGCATGAATGAATTATGATTTAGTAGCGAGCTGTATATATGCATTTACTATATTAACAAATATTATCCAGAGTATCTTCAATGTCATCCTCTCGGGTTGATCTGCTCTGTATGCTAAGGTGCCACCTGGGCATGGGTACCTAGGCACTAGTATATGTACTGCTACGCCCGTCTGGATGTTTCAAGGACATTATGTAGTAGGTACCTATGGAGGATGTATACCTAGGTATCCATGCCCACCTGGGCAGGTGGATCGAGACCTGCAGCTACGGGCCTGGGGCTCTGAACACTCATGATACCTAGGTATATATATCCTCCTACCTAAGCTTCCAAGGTTTGGAAGGTACTAGGTATTACCTACCTAGGTAGTAGCAGTACTGTACTAGTACTAAATAGTAGTTTAGCTTCAAGTTCTTGATAGCTTTTAGAAATTTCTCTTCTAAAACTAGATATACTGGTAGTATTGTTATTAATTCCCTTCCCTACTTTCCCCAATACTGACTGTCTGCTAGAGCCGCGGTCTTGGCGGGGGCCGGGAACCGGAAAAACCCATCCGACCGGCGCACGGTACTTATTTTCTGCTCGCTTCTTTTAAGCTCTTCCTTCCTCTTCTTCTCTTTCCTTCTCATTCTTCCTGTGCTTCACTGCTTCGGATGTAATGACATGATCTGAACTCCTTCTAACCTTCCAGCTTCTCTTTCACTCACCTCTCATTCGAGATGGATGCTTTCTGGGCGGCACCTCCGGTGTCTCGGTATGTGGCATTGCCTTTGCTCATCCGCTCGATCCCGCAAAGACTTACGTGTCTTTTTCATATTCCAGAACGATCACGGCCTTGACTCTCGCTCAGTCTATTCTGGTCCATGGCGGCCTGCTCAGTGGATATTATGTTGTCTTTCTGCCCAGGCTGCTATGGAAGCTACCTCCCCAGATCTGGCGTCTGGTCTCATCGTTCATGCTAACCGGCAGCGGTATCTCGTTCATCTTTGATCTCTATTTCAGTATGGTGCCTCGGTATTGCATTGGTGTCAACTGACCCAACTGCTAACCCTACCGACACAGTGTACTATTATGGCAGTTCTCTGGAAACCGCGTCGCCTCGGTTCACCCAGCCAGAAGATTTCTTCACCTATCTGGTCTTTGTAGCCTCTGTGATCTTGGTAAGTGACTCGCTTGAACCGGGATTCATCTCGAGAAGAGTCTTGTCTTTCGTTTCGTGTTTTCTTGCTTTGCCTTTCCTTTCCTTTCTTTTCAAAACACCTCGCATTATCTGCCCGCCCAGCCAAAAACTAGCTGAAGCGGTTCCTGGAAGCGAGGAAGATTACCCCTGCATCCCGTGCGGTACCGCATTCGCAAAATAAAAATGGTACTGCATGCGGTGTGGGATTGGTGGGACTACCTCGAGATAGCTGTCGTGATCCTATAAGTTCATGCCGGTGGTTATGGTGCCCTACATTCTACATATTCATCTATCTATTATTCATTCCCAATACCAATCATTCTATTCTTCTTCCAATCTCCCACCGCGGTAGCCCTTTGCAATGCAATTTCTATAACAGCATGCTGACCTTTCCCAGCTCACTTCGGGTTGTCTCCTCGGCAATGTGCTCTTCACTTCCGGTAAGCTCTTACGCCTCATTCAGACAAGAAGCTAGTGCTGTTTCCCTTGAGGCTCTCAAATGCTAAGACCAAGATGCCTTAGCCTTGATCATGGCGATGGTCTACACCTACTCCCAGGATAACCGCGGCAGGAGAGCGACCTTTATCATTGTTCCAATGCCTGTTGAGTATCTGCCCTTTGCGATGCTTGCGTTCACTTTGGTCATGGGTGGACCGAACGCAGCACTATCCGAGGGCATGGGCATTGTCGCTGCTCATCTCTACGACTTCATCACGCGCATCTATCCCACCTTCGGAGGCGGCCGTAACTGGATCCAACCCCCTGGTTTTGTGCGTCGATACTTCCGCGGGGTCACCTCAAACCCTACCGTTCGCCCATATGGGACTGCTTTCCGTCAGCCTGCACCGCAGCCTGAATCGTCCACGGCCTCCTCCTCGTCGTCTGGTGGTGGTAGTGGAGGTGGATGGGCCTCGGCGTTCCAGCGGACCCCGGATGCGTGGAGCGGTCGGGGTGCTGGACGGAGACTTGGCTAGGGTTAAGAGATGTGGTGGGATGATTGCAGGGATGATTGCAGGGAGGAGAGTGGAAGTGATCATTGCATGTTTAAGCGTTCTACTCCATAGATATCCAAGATATCCCCATCGGTGGCATATTAAGTGGCCACCAACGATCAACAATACGTTAGGCAGTGTGCCTAGAATACAAGTGACTCAATTAGAGACTGAATAATGTAACAAGTACTGTAGAGTGATACGAATTATCAGTGGTAACCACGAGTAACCAGGAGTAATCACGAAGTACTAGCCATATCACTGTAACTATAGTGTATGCCACCTGCAAAGACTGACACTCACGTGACCTACGGGCGCTAACCCGATTTGGCGTTGGAGCTGGCGCACCGCAAAATTTGGTTTCCTCCCGAACAATTTTTTGGCCTTCAACGACAACCAACAACCACGATGGCCGCCGTCAATAACCAAGAGATGGATTACGCCATCAAGCCCGAGGCGGTTACGCCAACCGTCTCTACAGAGGATTGGCCTCTTCTGCTGAAGAATTACGAGAAGCGTGCGTCTTTTTCTTCTTTTCCGGGGTTCTTCTTCCCTTCTCGGGAGCCCATGGCTAATCTTTTCTCTGCGCAGTGCTCGTTCGCACCGGTCACTTCACCCCGATCCCTGCTGGTGCCTCCCCTCTTAAGCGTGACCTTAAGTCCTACATCAGCTCCGGTGTCATCAACTTGGACAAGCCCTCCAACCCCTCCAGTCACGAAGTCGTGGCTTGGATGAAGCGGATCCTCAGGTAAAATCCAGCCTCCACCCTGCTTCGAGTCTTCCCACTCCCACCATCCCCAACCCCCGAAGACTCGATATCAATTGTGTCTAGCCAATTCTGACTCGCCTATTACCCTCTAGATCCGAGAAGACTGGTCACTCCGGTACCCTTGACCCCAAGGTCACTGGCTGTCTGATCGTCTGCATTGACCGTGCCACCCGTCTCGTTAAGTCGCAGCAGGGTGCCGGTAAGGAGTACGTTGCTGTCGTCCGCTTCCACGACAAGGTTCCCGGCGGTGAGGCTCAGTTCCGCCGCGCTCTGGAGACCCTCACCGGTGCTCTCTTCCAGCGTCCTCCCCTGATCTCCGCCGTCAAGCGTCAGCTCCGTATCCGTACCGTCCACGAGAGCAACCTCTACGAGTTTGACAATGACCGCCACCTCGGTGTCTTCTGGGTCAGCTGTGAGGCTGGTACCTACATCCGTACCCTCTGTGTCCACCTGGGTCTTCTGCTCGGTGTTGGCGCTCACATGCAGGAGCTGCGTCGTGTTCGCTCCGGTGCCATGAGCGAGGAGAGCGGCATGGTCACCCTGCACGATGTCATGGATGCCCAGTGGGTTTATGACAACCAGCGTGACGAGTCTTACCTCCGCCGCGTCATCAAGCCCCTCGAGTCTCTGCTCACCAGCTACAAGCGTATTGTCGTCAAGGACAGCGCTGTCAACGCCATCACCTACGGTGCCAAGCTGATGATCCCCGGTCTCCTCCGCTACGGTTCGTTACGTCCAATCTCCACTCTCACATGAACCCAGTGCTAATTTTTTTTTTTCTCACAGAGGCCGGTATTGAGGTTGGCGAGGAGGTCGTCCTCATGACCACCAAGGGTGAGGCCATCGCCATTGGTATCTCCCAGATGTCCACCGTCGAGCTCACCACCTGCGACCACGGTGTCGTCGCCAAGGTCAAGCGCTGCATCATGGAGCGTGACCTGTACCCCCGCCGCTGGGGTCTGGGCCCCGTCGCCCTTGAGAAGAAGAAGCTCAAGTCCGCCGGCAAGCTGGACAAGTTCGGCCGCGCCAACGAGGAGACCCCCGCCAAGTGGAAGTCCGACTACAAGGACTACAACGCTCCTCTTGAGGACGGCGAGCAGCCAGTCGCTCACATCCCCGACACCCCCAAGGTCGAGGAGTCCAAGGCCGAGGAGTCTTCCCCCGCCGCCGACGACAGCGAGAAGAAGAAGCGCAAGCATGACGGCGAGACCGCCGAGGAGAAGGCCGAGCGCAAGAAGAAGAAGAAGGAGAAGAAGGAGAAGAAGGAGCGCCGGAAGTCCAAGCAGGCCGAGGACAGCTCTGACAGCGAATAGAGAAGGCCAGGAAGAGTGGACTGCACCCACGACGACTGTGGTCTGTGTCTATTTCCTGTACCATATTTTGATTTTTATCCGGAGTCTTTGGGTCAAAAGGGATTCTGTCGGTTTGAAGATTTTTCTTTACTTAGTTGTTGCTCGAATCAATGTGTTCTGTATACTTGAAGTCTTAATCTTAAGTTCTAAGTCCTGGTTCTGGTTCTGGTCTGGCAAGGCAATTGGAACTCGGCCTACTAGTATTCGCCTAAATTCTCGCTAGCATTTATTTAAAGGTCATGGATGACCCGCCTGTCAACCCTTACTTCGGAGCCAAGATGTACATGTGTATCCAGCATATGTAACTCCAAGAAGATCAAATGCAATGCACAGCGTGTGGATGCATGTCGACCAATACGGACGGACACTGCGCACAAAATTACAGCGGAAGGGTATTGTATCAATCTGAAAAGAACATTGAATATTTGGTAATACGAAGAGGCGTTAAGAGTGAACACTTCATCAGATACCTCCAATAGAGAATCATAGACTTGAAACATCTGTCAACTCGATTCTTGAAAATGGAAAATTATGATTGAAAGATATACGCCATAGCAATCTTGATTTGTTATGACGGCACGAATAGAACTCAATCCGAAGCTCTTGTTCCAACAATCATTCCTAGATACAGGAGCTTAAATTTATTTCCAGACAGAGACATTCCTCTTGAGGAATTCCTCCCAGGTAGTAGGCTTGGAATCAAGAAGCTTCAGAGTAGGTTCAAGCGACTCGCCCAGATAGTAGCCAGGCTCCTCCACAAAGAGCTGGTTTTCGAGATACTCGGTAGCAACAGCAGCAGGTAAAGATGCCTTGTACTGTTCCGGGCTGATCTGAAGAAAGACAGCAGTCTTTCCCGTAACCCGAGAAAAGATGTCCACGATTTCTTGAGGAGTGTAGTACTTAGCAGCAGCCAAGACCTGCTTGTCCTTCAACTGGACTGCGTGCTTTATGGCAACCTTGACGAAAAGACCTAGAAAATGGGTTGGAATTAGCTGCATTATCTCAAGGACTTATGCATATGAAAGTGCAAGCTTTACCGGTATCCTGCGCCGCATCGAAGAGGGGGAACTTGGCCTCATTGCTAACAGGGTAGAATAGCTGGTACGATCCATCCTCAGCGCGGTTCAGCATCTGTGTGAAGTTACTCATATAATATCCAGGAAGAATAAAGCTGCATCCGAGGCCAGAAGCCCGAATGTATTTCTCGACATTGGCCTTGCTGTCGAAATGAGGCACATGGGACAGGCGGCCCTTGGTCTGCTCTGTCACGTTGTGGAGTGAAGAGAAGATAAGGTGGGAGACACCGATAGCTTTAGAAACATCTGCAACATTCTTGCCCTGGGAGAATTCCACATCGGCATTCATAGTTTCCCAGTAGTTGGTGACCAGGAAGACGGTGTGGGAACCCTTAAGGGCGGCACTCAGGGATTCAACAGAGTCCAGATCGGCCTAAGATACAACCCGTTAGCTTCTAGGTTAATTTTTAGTAGATATATTTTAAAGAGGAATGTTACCGTGACAACCTCAACACCCTTCTTGGCGAGATCCTGAGCGGACTTCTTCGTCGTGTCCCGAGTAACTCCACGGATCTTGAATTCCTTAGAGAGCGCAGGATCGGTAAGGACAGCTTCAATGACAGAGCCACCCTGATTACCGGTAGCACCAAAGACAGTGATCAACTTGGCCATGGTGGATATTGCAGATGATAGGGAGAGAAAGAATCCAAGGATATGGTAATCTTAGAAGACTGAAGGTTGTGTGAACGATTGTAGATAATAATCAGAATCGATGGATCTTTTATAAACCCTCTCTAGAAGGGGCAGAAAAGCAAGTACGAGATGGTGAAGCTATGGTAAATTGCAATGAATAAGCTTCGGGGCCATAATGTAAGTACGAAGACCGAACCCCGCCGATTTCGTCACGATGTCTAGACATCGGGCTTCAATGGTTGACCGAAGCCAGACCCAATGCAAAGACACCGGCAATACTCGGTCAATTTCGAGTTGCGGCTGGTGGAGCTCAGTGGCTCATGGGCGAAATGACCTATTGGTTGAATTTTGATCAGAGTAGATCAGAGTACTAGTAGTCATGGTATGTCATGAATGTCATAAAACTAGCCACCGAAGGCCGAGCCCCGAGCCGAGCCCCGCGCAGTGCGGATAAGGTTTGGGCTTACATTTGCCTCTATTTTGGAGACTCTCAACGCAAAAAGTACTAGTAGTGCCTGATAAGTAAGGATTCATATTCACAGCCATAGGTAGCTGTTCTATAGCCCTATAGTATTGACTACATCCATGAAAATATCAAGGGACCCTAGATATCCTTGGGATTCTTCCACAGGATTGGCTATACCCGGGGCTGTATCACCTGCATCAGCTAAATCCAAGTCGTTTGCAACTGGTATAGACTGCTGAGCTCGAATTGCAGCAGCACGATTCCGAAGACGTTCTAACGGTCGCATCATTAACCCAAGTCGATTGCCCACTGGTCCAACCCAGCGTTCGTAAACCCGATCGATGGCCACCCACGCACGGTCTGATAAAGGGGCAACCGGACGCACACAGAGCTCCGATAGAAGATATGCAAACGCCTGCCACGGCACATATCCCTGGAACAGCCATGACCATTTCCTGGTACTTTCGTGGGATTCGAGCAGGTAACCGAATTCAAGGACCTCGATCGCGGTGAGGATGAGGAGATCACATCTTTCCGGGAACAGCTCTGGTTGGAATCCCTCGGCGCTCATCAGCGAGAAGTGCGATACAAGCCATGATCGTGCGAGAGCAACACGGGCAATGGTCGCGGTCACCCAGTGGATTGCGATTTCAAGATCACAGAATTTAAGATATTGCTTGTCAAGGGCGACTTGAGTTTCTTCTATTGCTCGGAGACGGTTCTGAAATAACACGTTATGTCCGTCATTATCAATTCCGGCGCTGCTGAGTTGCATCAATTTACGATGCAATTTGAGGATCTCACATCTGACCAAGGTTAAGGTCATTTCTGTGAACCCGGTTCGTTCAGGTGGGGGTTCGACCATGTCAGGCGACAAATCCTCGTCATTGATATTCAAGGGCAATAGAGTATCGTAGTCTCCTTCTCGGATTTGAGGGCTCGTGGCTTGAAAATCAGATGATCGGACATCCAGTAGATATATATACCACCACAATCGTCGCCGCATCTCTGTTTCGAATGGGCCTAATCCGAAGTGACTGCTGTCTCGATGCAGACCCAGGCTCAAGGCAAGACGAGTCACCACAGCGATCATGGTCCAGACAAAGTGTGCATCCTGAGAGTCACAGGCACAGCTCAAGAAAAGAACCGCTGCTTGTAATACGATCAATTTGCGGGTATGGAGGAATCCTGCCCGCACCAACGCTTGCTCGACTGCGAACCGATATCGTTTGGTCAAGGTAGTGCGGTCTGCCCCAAGCTGTGCAAGACATACCTCTGGCGACATGCTGTAGATTGCAGATAAATAGATTGAAAATAACAAAGCTTCGGACTCTTTATCAAAGTTCTTGGGATTTGTGGTCGCTGTTTGGAGCAGATCTCTCAACATGGGCTTATGGATGATCAAAATGATGGGTGCCACATTCTCTTCGAAGGCGCTGAAAAGAATATGGCTGATCATTGGCGGCGGGTGGAAACTGTCAAGTGAATGAGCCACAGAATGATAGCCGAATATAAATGGACTCGATATTTCAGACTCTGCTGTTGGCATTGGCGCCGAGGAGTCTTCGTCAGATAATGTTGGTGATTCTGGCGAATCAAAAAGATCTCGAACTTCTTTAATCTTCAAAAAACAGTCTTAATAATTTGACTCATACTATTAAGGGTAATTAAAACTTGGGAGAGGTAAGAGATACCTGATCTGCAAGCTCCGTCAAAACTTGATGATTCACATAGCGGCTCGTTCCGCTATTTCGATCCACGACGAGGCGTCCAAACTGATCCTCCAGCGTACTGGAAGTCGAATTGGACGAGACAGACGGTTTGCTCATCCCGATTCCATCTCCCTCGATATTTCTCGGCTGATCAATTGATCGATCGCCTGGGTTATGCTTGGCTAACCATGAGAGCATGGCGCGGCTATCATGCGGGCCGTCATCATTGTCTCGTTCTGGCGGGGAACCCGGAGAGGCATCTTCAGCAAAATCTTTGCTACCAAGCTTCTTGATTTGATCTTCGAGGAGACCCAGTCTGGTTATCAACTCGGCCTTGTTCGATGGTTTTTTGGTTGTTTTCCGAGGTTTACGGCCAGGCGGTGGATACGAGCACTCGACCTCTAAACGCACGCAGTTATCGCAAGGCCAAGACTTGCTACAGCGTACCTTTCTGCGGTTGCAATCACGACAGCTTCGTTGGAGTAATGTTGACCCTCTTTCACGTGGGGAAGATGTATTCGCGCTAAGCGGATCTTGGGCCATGTTGTGACGGAAGTTGAGGAATCTGGAATGGGGCAGAATGGTATCTAATGGCATTGATCAGACGCCTTAAGCCTAAGGCCCACAAACTGAATTTATTTTGATAGGTTCTGCATACCTTTCCTACTCAAGTAACGACACAATATTGAGGGTTATTAATGATTATTATTCTTAATAATGATGAATCTGTCGATATAAGTTGAGGCAACTTGAACCGATTGTCCATATATCGAAACAGCAGTGATGACGTCATACCACTATTGGAAAATGACAAAAGGTCGACTTGTTGCCCCTAGCGGACACAGTGATAGTGTTTTACTTCATTTCAAAATGCCCAATCCAATAGCAATCATCGCCGGTGTAGGGCCCGGAACAGGCAGCGCTGTTGCACGGCGCTTTGCCCAATTTTACCCCGTTGTTTTACTCGCTCGATCGCAAGGGTCCCTTGATCCGTTGGTCAAGGAAATCACACAGAGTGGAGGGTCGGCGACAGGTTTCCCCACTGATGTTACAAGTGCGTCCTCGATGGACTCGACAATCGAGGAAATCACGGCCAAGTTTGGAAGTGATATCACGGTCGCCGCGGCAATTTACAATGTTGCCAACAAGTTCTTAATGAAACCGTTCCTCGATCAATCTCCAGATGAATTCTTTGGGAGTTTGGAGCCGGCGAACAGGGGTGCATTCAATTTTGCTCAAGCCACGCTCCCCTTGATGTTGAATGGGGTTGGTCGGGGCCAGTACCCGCCCACGCTTATTTTTACTGGTATGAAGTCTTGGGATTTAACAGATTATTATGGGCTAACAATAGCAGGTGCTACGGCTGCACTCAAAGGTGGCTCAGGTCTCTCGGCATTTGCCATGAGCAAGTTTGGAACTCGCGCCTTATCTCAATCTCTTGCGCGTGAATTTGGTCCTAAGGGGATTCATGTTTCTCATGCAATCATCGATGGAATCATCAACACGGAAAAGACCAAAGCCTACGGCGAGAATATTCCAGATTCTAAAATTGATCCCGAAGGAGTATGTTAATGAATAATCTACTGATCTCGTGGATTGCGCTAACAGTAAATGCTAGATTGCAGAATCTTACTGGTTCTTGCACACCCAGCCTAGGAGTGCATTTACCCAGGAGATTGACCTTAGACCCTATGTAGAGAAATGGTGAGAAAATAGTTGTGTGATTCCGAGTCCTGATATTGATTTACCTTGCGTTAAATAGGCTATTTAAAACCAGTACTGAATCATCTAAAGTCTCATGCAACATGAGTTTAAAATTTACAATGCTATTCCTACACATATTTCACAGTCCCTCATAATTCTAAAGATACCCATCATCCTAACACTATTAGCAATATTGAACTGCTAGTCTTCTCAACAGACAGTCTTCTGAAAGGTGACAATCAGATTCAAGATTCCTGTGAAATTCGTTATTGTAAACCAAAATCCGGAGCTAGTAATCCTAATGACTCAAGTTCCATATATTTTGCTATTTAAGCGCAGTCAAAGATAGATTAAAATCGTATATGACTAAAAAGCTATTCAGAAAAATTCAGCTCTATTTGTACAGAGCAAAAGAGGTTGAGCCATATTAATTTGGGCAATCTGATTTTCGTGGATACAAGGGGGCTCGGGCGAACCATCTCCATCTCGGGGTTCCGGGCGTGAGTTCAATCCCGAAATGACAAATTTGAAAGTCGATAATCTAGTGGCGGATCAGTCAGCCCAGATGGTCTTTCTCAACCAGTGGTGTTAAGAAATTCCTGAGTTTATTTAAACCAAGGATTTTATATCGATCTCGACGATATTTCACATTTTAATTAACAGTTGCTACGCTCTAATAGGACCGACCTCCTTCTCACCCCACCATCGTCAAATTCCCCACCAATGGCTTCAAAGTTTGTTGCAGTGGCTGGTGCCACAGGTGGCCTGGGTCAGCTCGTTGCAATGGAGCTAGTGAAACGGGGCATACCCGTCAAGGCCATCGTGCGTCCTAACACCGACCCATTGCGCACCGAGAAGCTTCGCAATGCCGGCGTCACAATCGCCCCTGTCGACCTATCTGCGATACCAACCCTCACTGGCGAATTATCCGGGGCGATTTGTGTTATCTCCACCCTCCAGGGACTAGGAGATGTTATCCATACTGCCCAGGGAAAGCTCCTTGAAGCCTCCATGGCCGCCAAAGTGCCTCGATTTATTCCGTCAGATTTCTCGCTAGATTTCACCAAGACAAAAGTCGGATCCAACCGCAACTTGGATCTGCGTCGCAAATTCCACAATGAACTGAACAAGTCTGGCATCGCGTGGACTAGTATTCTCAATGGTGGCTTTATGGACCTCCTGGTCGGTAACTCTCCTATGATCAATCATAAAAGCCGCACGGTTGCATATATCGGCTCGACAACACAACCCCTCGATTTCACTACCATGGTCGATACAGCTGCGTATACGGCAGAGGTGGCTATTGATCCGAACCCCACACCCAATTTCCTTCGCATCGCCAGTCATACCGCCAATGTGGAAGAAATCGCCCAAGCACAGAGCAATGTTGAGGGTGTAGCGTACAAGCCTTCGTGGATGGGCACAGTTGGCACAGCGGAGCTCATGATTCGTATTATGCGCTTCTTTGGTGGCGAGAGTGATGTTTTCCCGGCCTGGCAGGGAATGCAGTATATGGTGAATATGTTTTCGGGTGCTGGGAAGCTTGAGCCGCTTGATAACAACCGATACCCTAATCTGAACTGGACCAAGGTTGGGGATTTTTTCCGGCAGCACAAAAACCAAAAATCAGTGGACAATGTTTGGTCTTGAAATCGAGTCATGAGTAAGGACTTGCGAGAAGGCTAGAGGATTTTGGGATTTTGGGATTCTAGTCGTTGTAAACAATATCCTGTTTCAAGATTATTTTGTTGTTGATTTATTTTGAACTCTAATATATAACTTCATTCCAACCTTGGAAATAAAGACGAGCGATATTTGCTACTATGTACCAGAAAATGGAGGAGTCAACTTAGAGACGCAACTCCAATTGCCGATTGTCCTAAATCCGAGCGGCCGAAGAAGCAAATCCGTGCCAAGAAATTATTTTTGATTTCTTAGAACTATTGATGACTTTTACTACTTCCGAGCGTGGAGGATCAAGACACATGGAGTCACTCGGAAAACCTAATGATGAATGGGTAGTCCTCTTAAGTCCAGAGTATTCCCATCTGTGATCCCAGTGACGGCCTAGAAAAAAGCCGAAATTGCGTATATGATTGTAGCTATCCGAGTCCAAGATGTTACGCAAGAAATACCGACTGATTGTCTAAACAAGTTTTTATCTTTTCGACCTGCTTGGCCAATAATTCGAGAATGTCCAAAGTAATATCTGCCCGGAGGCTCTGCCGGACCCACACAGAACAACTTCCTCCTTGGGACTAGTGGAATCAAGTACTTTTCCCAATGCGAATACATTCGGCGACATCTGATGGCGGAATGCATTGCTACTTACATATTCGTTCTAGACATTCGTCATTTGTCAACTGCTAGATTTCTCATCAAGTCTGGAATCTCAAGGTCATCGATCTCGGCGGGCAATCTTCACTTATAAATGAAAAATGGCTGTCATCTCCGATACAAGAAAAGAGAAAATACGAACAAGAACTCCTGCACTTGCATTCGGATCTAAACCTCCAACCCCGCCAAAATTTGACCTTCGAGATGCCAGAAGCCCTGGAATTCAGTTTCGATGGGTCCGCTTACTCACAAAGCACCTCATCCAACATCGATGATTGCGACTACCCCGAAGGAGGACTCAAGGCATGGTCTGTGGTTCTTGGAGCCTGGTGTGCTATGGTTCCATCCATGGGACTTTTGAATAGCTTGGGAGCCCTACAAGCATGGACAAGCACGCATCAGCTCAAGGATTATTCGGAATCGAGTATTGGATGGATTTATGGAGCCTACACGTTCTTCTTATTTTTAGGAGGTGCGCAATTTGGTAAGCGATTTCATCAGCAGCAGTTTGAGCATAATGATAACCATTGAAATCTCCAAGGGCATATTCTTGATTCTCATGGACCGTTATACGTCATTGTTCCAGGGTCAGTTGGCATGGTTCTTTCTCTGATCTTCCTCAGCCTAAGCGAAGGTATGTTGTTTCTCCGAATGTACTTCGGTTTTTAGCTCCATATCATACCCTAGAAAGCTAACATATCAAAAGAGTATTATCAGATTTTCCTCTCCTTCAGCATTCTAGGCGGAATATCGGCGAGCACACTTTTCACACCCTCGGTGGCTGCCGTGGGTCATTGGTTCAATAAACGACGTGGATGGGCGACAGGCATTGCTTGTACTGCTGGAGGCGTTGGAGGCTGCATCTTTCCCCTTATAATCCTTTTCGCGGCTCCAAAAATTGGGTTCGCTTGGTCTATACGAATCATCGCTCTCATATGCGCAGTATTGTGCTCAGTCGCATGCCTCACGGTCCGAACCAGGCTTCCTCCCAAAAAAGAAAAATTATCTTTGGAAATTGGGGCACTAGGGGATATTAAGTACGCATCTGCATCACTGGGTGTTTTTCTGGTGGAATTTGCCGTCTTTGTCCCCATCACCTATATCATATCTTATGCACTTGACGCTGGACATGGGGAGCAAATATCCTACGCAATTCTTGTGTTTTTGAATCTCGGTGCCATATTCGGACGTTACCTTCCAGGGATAGGTGCTGACCGAATTGGCCGATTCAACGTTATGTCGGCGAACTGTTTGATGTGCTCTACATTCACCCTGATCCTATGGCTTACGGGTAATCTAGTTGATCCTCGAAATTTGGGAACAATCATCAGCTATGCGGTGATATTCGGATTCTTTTGTGGAACAGCAATTAGTATCGCGCCGGTGTGCATTTCTCAGGTCTGCGAAATAGAAGACTATGGAAAAAGAGTTGGAACAACATGGACCTTGGTGAGCATAGGCACTCTCATTGCTATCCCAATTGCAGGTGCTATTCAGCAACTCAATAACGGTGCATACTATGGATTAATTATTTTCGGAGGGACCCTTTATCTGTCGTTGACTCTAGCTTTTGCTATTTCTAGAGGAATTTCTGGGGGATGGGCATTACGAACAAAATTTTGATATCAGATTCTAATATTTTCATCTGATCTTGGCCGGCTTTGTGAGATGGCAACTCCATTTTTTTCACCTCTAGTAATGTTAACCAATGCTCCAAAATGATCCTTTCTTTCGAGTTTCCACATTCAATTTCCTCGAATATAGATAGTAATTTCCAAGGCTATTCCATTCAATATACTGAAAGATGATATATCTCAGAAACTGGAGTAGCAACTCGGATGAAGACCTAATCGCACAATCAAACATCTGGCTTCTCAGCTGCGTTATCATCTGGGCCTGAGTTCATTGTTGACTCGATTCGTCGAATAACCCTAGCAGGATTCCCAGCAACAAAATGAAAAGCGGGGACATCCTAGCAAGCGACTTTAGTCAAATCATCCACCGAGTCAGAGTTAGAATGTAACTCACCTTGGTGACCACCGAACAAGCACCTACGGTGCTGCCTCGTCCAACTCGCACACCAGCTAGAATTGAGACACCGGCTCCAATCCAAACGTCATCCTCAATGTGAATTTCCTTCCCTGCTTCTGGTCCCTTAAGTCCACGACGTTCCGCTGGATCCATGGGATGAATTGCACCATACAGGCTGACATTTGGACCAAAAAGAACATTTTCGCCAATTGTGATGAGACATGTGTCCAAAACGAGGAGATTGAAGTTTAGGAAGCTTCCCTTTCCCACCTTGAAATTCAGGCCGTGATCTATTGAGACGGGGCCGTCGACAAATGGATCTGTCTCTTCAAATAGAGCCTCATCTTCCTTTGGATCCGAGATTTCCATAGGGAGTGGACGAGTGTCCCCAACAATCCTTAGTAACTAGCAATCAATATCTTGATAGTTTCATTCAAGAATTGGAAAAGATACTCACGTCCTCCAGAGCCCCACCTTGGTGCGGCGAGAGGCATATGTCGCTGCATTGAAATTTTCACACGCCTTTTTGCAGCGCGTTCTATTCTCTTGTAGGATCTCGTCGCCGGCGTGGTACCATTCCCGCGGAGCATTCTGCTCCATTCAGGAGATGTTGTCATCGTGTTTTTAGAAGCCGTTTTGCTTCTAGTTTTTGAATAGTATGGCCGATCAAAATATCTTCTGATATCAGAAAATCATAGAAATAATGTAGCTCAAGGCTGAAGAAAACTAATTGAGATTGGGTTTTCATGGTTCTGACTTCATTTCAAGATCCCCGGAAGATTCTCGGACTAATTGGAGGTGCCCACATGCGCGAGAATAGTGAGGCCAAAGAATGATTGGTCAGTAAGATCCACAGAAGTGGAGAGTAGGATGGGCCATCCCTCTTTGGGTTGTTAATAGCCGCGCTGGTTCGCAGCTCTACATTACATCATATGAAGCCCTGGATAGGTTCACAAGGAGGGTAGGCTATACTAATTTTAGAACACTGCCAGCCTGTTAACAACAGTGGGTCTATTGCATCTAAATTGAGCGCTGTAGACGTCTAATTCGTGCCTGCATCACCCACTTTAAGATCTAAGTATTGAGTAAGGTATGAGTAGATATAAATGGTTCTGAGGCCAATAATTTCCCCGCATGGCAATAAAACCCTGATTTCCCGCCCATTTAATTTTCCGCCTCAAAAAAGAATCAAATCACAACCTTTTGAATAAGATATCCCTGGCACCAAAATTGTTACCTCCCACTCAAACTTCAATGACGCTACCTCAATCCAACTATACCACCAAAAAATGGTGGAAGGAAGCAGTTGTATATCAAATATACCCCGCTAGTTTCAAAAGCAGCAAATCGGTCAGCGAAGCTGACGGGTGGGGTGATGTGAATGGAATTATTGAGAAGGTGCCTTACCTGAAGAGCCTGGGTGTCGATATCGTATGGTGCAGTCCCAGTGAGTGATGTGTTCCATTTTTTTACCCTTTCCGACAGTTACAATGATGGATAATTTGGAAAATCTGTTTCAATCGGTCACCCTACATTACGAGAGTGCTTACATGTTCTCAACATGAACAGTTTACAAGTCTCCACAAGCGGACATGGGATACGACATTGCAGATTATAAATCTATCGACCCGCGGTATGGCACTCTATCCGATGTGGACCTTTTGATTGAAACTCTGAAGAATCATGGAATGAAACTCATGATGGACCTTGTTGTAAACCATACCTCTGATCAACATGCTTGGTTTCGTGAGTCTGCAAGCTCCAAGGACTCATCGAAGAGGGACTGGTATATCTGGAAGCCCCCAAAAGGATTCGACGACGCAGGAAAACCACTGCCCCCAAACAATTGGGCAGGTATACTGGGTGATTCACTCAGCGCTTGGAACTGGCATGCAGAGACCCAAGAATTTTATTTGGCTTTACATTCGCCCGAGCAAGTTGATCTGAACTGGGAGAATGCAGAAGTTGTCACTGCCGTTTACGATGTGAGTTTTATCAACCGCCAAAAGTTATTCCAAAGACTCGTGCAATGTTTCCACATTCTCATCAACACGATTCTGTCACCTCAAAGGCCGCAGACAAAAATCATCGCTAAATATGTTCCAGGTCATGGAATTTTGGTTGAGTCGCGGTATCGCCGGGTTTCGCATGGATGTCATCAATCTCATATCCAAACACCAGTCTTTCCCAGACGCTCCGGTCATTGACCCAAAATCAAAATATCAGCCAGGGGAAAAGTTTTTCACCAATGGCCCCCGCTTTCACGAATTCATGCATGGTATTTACGACAATGTCCTCTCGAAGTATGATACTATTACTGTTGGAGAAACGCCATACATCAGTGATATGAGTGAAATTATTAAGACGGTTGGATCCACAGCTGGGGAGCTGAATATGGCATTTAATTTTGAACACATGGAAATTGAAGACATCAAAACTCGCGGCGAGTCGAAGTGGAGCTTGCGTGACTGGAGATTAACAGAACTCAAAAGTATTATTTCTGGATGGCAGCGACGAATGAAAATATGGGATGGTTGGAATGCTATTTTTCTGGAGTGTCATGATCAAGCTCGGTCAGTCTCGCGCTACACGAATGACACAGACCAATATAGAGAGCAGGCCGCCAAAATGCTGGCGCTCATGCAAACAACACTTGGTGGAACCATGTACCTATACCAAGGCCAAGAGATTGGGATGCGCAACTTTCCTTCGGATTGGAACCCAGAAATCGACTACAAGGATATCGAATCGGTTAATTTTTGGAAGAAAACAAAAGCGCTATACCCAGATGGATCTAAAGGCCGAGAGGAGGCTGAAAGGCTTTTGCAAAAGAAGGCTAGAGACCATGCTCGCACACCTATGCAATGGGATGATTCTCCGAATGCCGGTTTCACTGTCCCCGAAGCAACACCCTGGATGAGAGTCAATGATGACTATAAGAGCATCAATGTGAAAGCCCAGCAGAGCTTGAAATGGCAGACCAAGGAAGAATTATCAATTTGGCAATACTGGCAACACGCATTACAGCATCGAAAACTACACAAAGATGTTTTTATTTATGGTGATTTTGAAGAATTGGACCATGAAAACGAAAGAATTTTTGCTTATCTGAGGACGGAGGTGGACAAAAAGGAGACGTGGCTTGTTGTGATGAATTGGACAACCGATGAGATAGAATGGACTATCCCTGCAGGCATTGATGTCAAGGATTGGGCATCATCTACGCTTTCGACCCACATTATCAGTGTCAAGCCAACTATTAAGCTCCAGGCCTTTGAAGGCGTTCTGGGAGTTTGTAAATAGAGTACTTGAGCCCTGTAAAACTAGCTGGCAAAAAGAAACGCGAGACTCACACATCAGGGGACTAACTAATACCGCGTTGAACTGCACGTAGTAATCAACAATTTACTAGTTAACTAGTTGCCGCGTCAGCGCTTCCCTTGCAAAGAGCCCTTGTAGTGTTCCAGCATTAGGGAAAAACATTTTGATTTAATAATTAGTAAAGAGAAATCGAAAAATGGCTCTGGTATATTTCCTCAAATAACAATAGATAACCTTTAATACATCCAGTGACTATTGTTTTCTATCCTAAGGTCGGGATCGTCCCGCTGGCCGGAAGCATCCCGAGGTCCCAGATCCTGGCTCAACCAAATTCACCGAAATATCCGGAATGATATCCGGACCTAGGAGGTAATAAATTCTGGGATGCACCCGAAACATTGAATTTAGTAGCCGTCTTTCCGATATTATCCACCCCACAGAAAGGCACCATGCAGCAGGACTGCCCTACACGGAGAGTCGCAGGAGCTCGTCGTCGCAAAATCGCTTTGGCTTGTGAACCTTGCCGTGAGCGGAAGTCTCGCTGCGACGGCGGCAAGCCGGTATGTGCATCTTGTGACCGTCGGGGGTTTCCGATTGGTCGTTGTGTGTACAAAGCGGAAAATGCGCGTTCAGCAAGTAGCGACGAGTGAGCATACTGTTTGCGAAATTCGTTCAGCAGCTAATGATATCCGACACAGATACATCCTGACACTACACAAACGAATTCGGGAGCTGGAGGAGGGCTCGGGTACTCAGGTATCAGGAGCTGGCGTGAAGCACCCGAACAATCCGTTAGATCCACCCAATTCCGAAGACACGTTCGTGGCCGATACTAGCGACGGGGCCATCGGAATTGGTGCCTCCCAAACAAGAATCGATGAAGCTCAGCATTTGCCGGATCACCAGCAACTACCGTTGAATGTGCCAGATAAGACAGAAAGCACCAACACCACCCATTCATCTTGTCCCTTTGAGTCTCCTAGTCATGTCACTGGGATGGGCGCCATGACGGAAGTCAACGATAACGAATCCTTTCCAAACCAAAGTGCAGAGTATTTTGGAAGCTCGTCAACTGCCTCGTTGATGTCTCTTTTGTCCCGAAACCCTGAGTACCAAAGCCGCCATGTGTGGGCATCACGGAGACCAGCCTCCCTTTACCCAGCTAGCAATGGCCAAGACTTGAATCAAATGTCCCTATCTACCATGCAGCTTGAAGACTTCCTACTTCCTCCCCGGGATTTGGCAGATCACTTGCTCGGGTGTTTTTGGGATAGAGTTTATTGCCTTTATCCGTTCTTTGATCGCCGCAGTTTTCAAGATGCATACGAAAATCTTTGGATACCCGACAATCAGAGTGCTCGTGAACTCTCAAACTTGAATATTGGACTTGGAGATCGCATCAACTCAGGGTCAAGATCGATTGTTTTTAGCTGCGCACTAAATGCGATATTTGCCATAGGCTGTCATTTTTCTGACATTCCCATCGAACAGCGAGAGACCGTCGCGCATCAATTTTTTCTTAGAGCCAAACACCAGATCGGTTTAGATATGATTGACATCCAGTCAATTGGTGTAGTTCAGGCGTTCCTAATTGTCGCATTGTTCTTACAAAGTACGGCCTATCCCCATCGCTGTTGGAGTTCAATTGGAATGGCATGCCGTCTTGCGCTTGGCTTCGGGCTACATGAACCGCATCTGTGGGCAACCAAACATCCGTTGGAGCAGGAGATTCAGAGGCGAACCTGGCATGGGTGTGTGATGATGGACATAACTGTCAGTATGACATACGGGCGTCCTAGCATGACGACGCATATTACAAGTATTCCATTGCCGGGGATATTCGACATCGAGTCCCGCAGGGAGACAGACGAACCATCACTCACCACCTTTTACAATTCCACGATCAGACTTTATTCTATCCTGGATCTTATTCTGTCCGATGTCTATAATACTTGGAGAGGACGATCCAGTGAGACCACTGACAAGATAAAACAGGCCGGAGGGCTCGATATGATTATCAGAATCGAAGATAAATTGCGTTCATTCAAATCCAGTATTCCGGACTGCCTAACCTGGAATGAATTGCCTGGGTCAGCGATACCATCTTCGAATATATCACTTATTGAACGGCAGCGAAATGTACTTCACGCACGGTAGGCTCTAGTCAGCTTTTCCCTAATCCCTTGCTCTCTGACCAAGAAACAGGTTCCTGTATCTCCACGTCCTCCTTTATCGGCCTATGCTCACTCAAATGTGCTTTGAAGAGCAAACAACAGGATCCTCTAGTAATCTGTCAAGCTCGGTGCATTCATTCGTGTCAATAAAATGTGGAAATGAATGTATCCGAGCCGCTATTGATCTCATTTCCCTCGTCTATGAGACCCACAGAACTCTCGAGACAGACACATGGTGGTTTAATGGCTTCTGTTGGTTTTAAACACTGCCTTTTCCCAGGGTATATCTTTCAATGCTAGTACTGACCCGGCCAAAGATACCTCTACGGCTGCAATGGTTTTGATCATGTCTGATACCAGACGTGATCCTCACTATTTAGACATTGAAAAAACCGCGATCAATATTGCCTGGCAAAAGTCGGAGCACGTATTGAAATACATGGCTTCATTTAGTGTGTCAGCTCAAAACACGCTCATCTGTCTCCAGAACATACGAAATCGGGTTCTCAGAAAGTCGAACTCTGATCTAGGCCCGAGCCAAAACAACGGCAACGCTTCTCAGGACTTGTCTACAGAACCAGGACAAGATCATGCGGGCTTGTCCCAAATTGCGAGTGGAACCTTGAACTGCGATGATGGGACTCTATTAGAGGACTTGGGGTTTCTTGGACCTTTTGATCTTAGTGATTTTCAGGACTGGTTTCCACAGCCAGCATAATGGGTACTTTGCCCGAATTTTTGTAATATTAGCGACTATTTGCATCGCAAAAAATCGTCAACTCTATTTTAATTGTTTCAAATTTACCTTGCTCTGTTAGATCTCGAGAAATGAGAGATTTGCTGTGGCGTGTTTCTGCCTCAGGCATCAATATCGCCGCCGTCTCCTCCGTGTCTAGATATCTTCGCTCTCTTTTCTTTTCATATCACCGCCTTTTCCTGCATTTATCACCTCCAAGTAGGATTTATCCACAGACACGCCCAACGACCCGGGTTGAGCCCGGACTGTTTTGCTCCGGAGACCCATTGTGGTCATCCACGCCGGCACCATTGCTGCATGGCTTACGTAGTGTCGGGATGTATCCGATTACGAGACCAGCGCGTCGAGTGCTGCTGGGCGGAAGTTTCGAGGTTCCACATCAAATCGGAATGTATCCGGGTCCAATATACTGTATATTAAAGTAACAAAATCACAATAACAAGGTCAAGCAATCCGTCGCAATGCTCCCGGCCGTTTATGTCAATATTGAGCACTATCTCACATACTATCCTACCACAACGACACTGTTGACCATTTTCGTCTGCATATCAACAATATTCTTGGTCATCCAGGAAATATTAGTGCCAGTAGGCAAACGACGGCCCCCACCAGGAAAGAAATGGCGCCTGCCTCCAGGTCCAAAAGGTATACCCATTTTTGGAAGCCTTCTGGATCTCAAATCAGCACGCGGGGATCCCGACAACAAGATAGTCAGTGCTGCGGGCTCTTTCTGAAAGAAAAAGTTAACTGAAAGATTCCAGAATCAAGACCTTGCCCGTTACGGCGAGATGACCACTTTGCATCTAGGATCTAAGACCTGGGTTCTTCTTAATAGCCAACGCGTCGTGGCTGAAATTATTGCCAAGCGTGGTTCTCTCACAAATGGTCGGTCACCAATGCCTGTTGCCAGCGGCATAGTGAGTCGAAATAGCCGATCCTTATTACTTCCACCTGATGGCTGGACTGAAAAGAGGCGTGTTATGCATTCCCTGCTCAGTGGTACTGCCTTGAAGGAATACGCTGCTTGGCAGGAGATTGAGAGCACGCAGCTACTGGCTGAATATCTGTTCCAACCTCAGTCGTGGTATCGACATCATTATCGCTATGCAAATTCTGTGGTCCACCGTATCGCGCTCGGTGAACGGTTGGTCAAAACAGGCAAGGAGCTTGCAGATCTTCAAGATGTGGTGACCCATTTTATTGGCAGTATTGGATCCAGCTTGATTGACTGGTTTCCAAAGCTGGACGCTCTTCCGAAGTTTCTTCAAGTCTGGCGCGGGCATTGGGAAAGATTGGATGAGTGGAACAACGGGGTGTATCGCTCATGGTGGGAGCCTGTTCGTAAACAGATCGACGCAGGCATTGCGCCACCATCTTTCGTCCGTGATGTCCTTCTCCATGAAGACACCAAATTTACCGGTGATGATCAAGAAGCCATGTATGTTGCGATGCAACTTATCGAGGCGGGCAGTGATACTACACGCGAGGCTTTGAATATTTTTGTGATGGCCAGTCTCTGCCACCCGGAAGCTTTTCAAAAGGCGCGTCAAGAAGTTGACAGTATTTGTGCAGCTGAAGAGGCCGCTTTAAGACTTCCTATGATGAGAGATATGGAAAAAATGCCCTACATTTGTGCGCTGATTAAAGAGGTCCTGCGGTGGAGGCCAATCTTTCCCTTCACACCGGATCACGTTCTCACGTCTGATATGGAATTCGAAGATTACTACTTCCCAGCTGGCGTGGGATTTGTCATAAATGGTATCCCTGTCTGCAATGAATGTGAGGATCCAGATATATTTAAGCCAGAGAGGTGGCTCGATGGGCACGAAATCGACATAGCACACGGCCTCTGGCAGTTTGGAGGAGGACGGCGTATTTGTGTCGGATATCGTCTCGCGCAGAGAGGCCTTTTTCTTAATATTGCTCGGCTGGTGATGTGCTATGATTATACAGCGGTAAGCTCTCTATTCTCGCCACTGTGTATCAAAAATGACTGACAACTAAGGCTGGTCCATATAATTCCCGGCGTCTTAATCACCACCGTACCGATGAGCCATTCCCTGTCAAAGTTATTGTGAGAAGTGAAAAGCATTCTAAGCTCATACAGGAAGAAGCAAGTAGGGAGGGAGTTCTACAACTAGCAAAGTCCTCCAAATGAGGTCAAAAGCTGTGAAATATGACCTCATTTCAAGCCGCTCACCTTGTTTCTCCCATCTTCAAGAAATTTTAAATCTTATAGCTATGTCGGTCTATAATCTGAAGCTTCTTGTTCAACAGAGCATGGCTTTGGAATCTTACCCTGCACCTGTAAACTGTTGAATATATTACATTTCCATGCTGTCATTCCTTCTCACTATCTCTAATAATTATTGATGTAAACATTTATGGGAGACTTTAATTCTTCGGCAAACGGCGCGCTGTGGTTTGAGCTGGGGGCCGATACTCTATTATAATTTATACCTTTAATTTGCACGAACACTTTGTTGTAAAATACGACTATATTATGATTTCTACACATATCAGTGGCTACTGGCCAATACCAAGACCCTGACTTCTCGCTTCAAGAATTACTATTCATTTTTCTTTGACAAGCGTTACTAACCGTTTTTAAACTGCACATCGAAGCGATTGGCTCTAGTAGCAAATAACAAAAAATTATGAAAATTGTCAATATACATGTAATGCCCAGGTGCAGGTTAATCTGTAGCTCTAGCTCAGATATACCTCATTCCAAGGTTGATGTCCGTCGAACGGAAGACAAAATGCTTACTGGCCAATCCACGGACTCATCTTGGCCAAAGCAGGAGACAAAAGACGCGAGCTTTGCGAATGGGCAAAAATCACAGCTCCAATGGCTACAACAAAACACAACAATAAGGTTCGGCCAGTCATACGCGTGGCTGGTTTTTGAATTGGCTTCAGGAGTTAGTGAAAGCATGGCTACTCAATGGGATCTGGCTCACTTTGAATTTCCAATCCGACCATACAGGGAAAAGACTGCGGAACCAATAATGGGCCTGGCTCCAAGGATATGCCATCGCATTCCACCTTTTCTCGTTTAAATACCACTATGAGAAGTTGAGTTAGCAGCAATCAATTGTACCCATTTGAAGTATCATACAGAAGCACAGCCTGCATTCCAGACCATGTGGTGAAGGGCCTCTTGAACACGATAGACATACGAGTCCTCGGCTTCTTGCTTTAAGTTCATCGAGGCCACCTTCCCATCTAGGATAGGCTTAAGCACTCGAAGCGCGTAATTCACAGAGCTATGTCTGTTAGTCAATTTTGTAAGTTGAGGTGTTTTCATTGGGACTTACTTTTCAGCTGCCATTAGGGCAGATGTATGACCCGTTGCCGCATTTGGTCCTAGTAACAGGAAGAAGTTTGGAAACCCACTCATAACTGAACAGTTATATGCCCCTGGCCCGTCATATCTGGCCCAATGATCTGAAATGGACCCCTCAAGCCCGTGGATCTCTGTGTATGGCAGAAACTTGTTTGTCTGGAAACCTGTGGCAAGGACGATGACATCTGCGGGATAAAACTTCTCCGTAGTCCGAATTCCATCGGGCGTAATCTCGGTTATCTTTGCTTGTTGGAGAAACAGCTTGTCATTGTGAAGTGACTCGAGATATCCACCGTTAAAAATGCGTCGCTTGCACCCCACATCGAAGTCGGGAATCAGAGTATCATGATACTTGGCCGGAGCGGTCTGTCGCATATATTTCTCAACCCTTTTCCGACGTTGGAGACGTAATTTACCGGCTGCCTTGGTCATGGGGAATAAACGCAGATCTCGCTCAGCGATGAGAAATATATGTAACCGGTGAAGTCGCATAGTGAGAGGGACATAACGAAAGATCCACTGCAAAATTCGAGGGTATGTGAAATTAGGGGCTGGGAAAATCCAATGCTTGCTACGAACCAGCTGAGTCAAGCTTTTTGTACGATCCACAATAGCAGGTACGATCTGGGCGGCAGTGCCTGTTTACTGTTAGTGGATATCACATTCACCAAGGCGGCCAGAGATGCTTACATCCATTTCCAATCACAATGACGTTTTTGTCCTTCAAATCAACATTATGGTCCCACCTTGCTGAGTGAAATATGGAACCTTTGAAGGTTTCAGATCCCGGGATATCGCAGGGCTTTGGCTCCACCAGTTGACCCGTAGCTGCGAAAAGTATCTGGCACTCATGATAGGTAATCTCACCTGTAGCCACATTGTGAAGCTTCATGGTCCACCTAGAAATGTCCTCACGCCAAAAGCAGTCTTTTACTTCCGTGCAGAATCTCATTTTATCACGCAGACCGTAGGTTTGCACTACCTCATCATGGTAGGATTTGATCTCTTTGTACGAAGGCATGAGTTTGGTCCAACGGGAGCTCAAAGCGAATGAGAAGCTGTAAAGAGCACTGGGAACATCACAAGCACATCCTGAAAGCAACCGTTAGTCATAACACGGGTAAGACAAGAATGGAAAAGGATTTACCAGGGTATGAACTGATGTGCCACGTTCCCCCGCAATCGGTATGGCGTTCGAAAAATTGAATATCGTCCATATCGTACCACCTCTTGAGCGTTGCCCCCAGAGCTATTGCACTGAGTCCAGTGCCGATACAGGCAATTTGGCTGTACGATGTCGAGACATGATTGGTGGTATTAACCTGAGTGTTCATTGTTGCAAAAAACGGGTAGGTAGATACTCAAACCATTCCAAGGTTGATTGACACCTTCGAATACTCATTATATAAACGGAGCGTTGTGCCCAGGTGATTGGAAATTAATCAGTATTTGCGGGTGCCCATGTGCTACCGAATCCTGGAGTCAGTGCCAGGTGGCTCGGGAGGGGTATCCTGAGTTCTCATGGTATCCGGGACCGTTCCGGCGACTTAATAATGATCAATCTATCAATCATACGAGTATCGGAACTGTGCCGGTGCCCTTTTTTGCATCTCAATTTGTTGCCGGAGGAAACCCGTCTCGAAATTCAAATTATCAAAATTTTGATATATTTTTGCATATTGCCAGCCTGGCGGGAAGGGTCTGTTTCACAGCTTCAGAAACCAAATTTTCCTTCAAACGATCATCTATCTATCTTCGTTACCTTGACCTCATATACCGACGAAATGGAATATATAGAAGAAGCCGAGAGGCTGTGGGGATTGACTTGTACTCGCTACAGGCCCGGCCATATCGAGATTGCTGGCGTCATTTTAAGTCAAATCATTGGCTTCATTATCCCAGCAACCATTTACCTGCTTATTGATGTCTTTTTCCCGAGGTTTTCTCACAGACATAAGATACAAAGCGAGCGTCGGCAACCCACATGGCCCCAGATTTGGCATTGTATCCAAATATCGATGTTCAATCAATTTTGGCTCATTGGGCTACATGCCCTTGCTACCTATTGGATTGGCCTCGACCACACATTTCTCGAGATGGACCCTCACCTTCCAACTTTGAAGACATTGGCAATAGACTTTATCTTTGGGATGGCTGCTCGTGAGGTTATGTTTTACTACGTCCATCGTGCTTTGCATCATCCGAGCATATATGTTTATATCCACAAGATGCACCACAAGTACACCGCACCAATCAGCTTTGCCGCGGAATATGCACATCCTGTTGAGCATATTATCGCCAACGTTCTTCCAATTGCCTTGCCTTTGACTCTGAAGGGCACACACTTTTTGTCGCTTATGGCCTTCTCTGTCTTTGAACTTTTCCAAGCCGCCGCCGACCATAGTGGCTACGATTTCTTCAAATTGCCCCCGGCTTCAATTCACGATCTTCACCATGAGAAGTTTCGCGTCAACTACAGCACATTGGGAATCATGGACTGGATTCACGGTACCGATATTGTGGGTTGGGATCGTCCGGGTCGACAGGATGGCAGGAAGCTCCAAAAGAACGGTGGAAAAGAAGACTGAACTAAACATAGCTTTTCAAACCTATTATACAACCTTTGGCCAGATAATGTGTTATTTGGCGTATTATGGCACTATATTCTCTAGAAGTGATGTCTGAGCAGCATTTATTTACATAAAAGTATTTGATACTCTTGGGCAGGAACTTCAAATGTCTAAATTGTTCGAAATTATGTAACTCCACTCAAATTTAGGGCGCTAGCGTCCTATAATTATTCGCGTCTCTAGGCAGTCCGAGTCTACAGGTATAAATATTATGCTACCCAGTATCTTGAACTGTTATGGTCTTGCAGGCTGCATAGGTAGAGTAGCTTCACTGATGGGGTGGCAGATTCTTGATAATCTTGCAACGCTGCCACATTTGCAGAAGCACTAGTTTAATGACCGCTATGGAGGACTGTTGAAGTGGAAGGGAATTTGGAAAGCGTTGCGAAAAGTTCCGAATACTCTGCTTTCGTTTACTTGAGAATCAATAGTCCTGGAGAATTAATTTCTGGTTTGGTTCTCAAAGTCCTTGCTACAGCGGACCTCGCTATTTAACCAGCAAATGCTGCTCATGAAGATCTCATAATAGCCTGTCTTTTTTGATTCTTTCAATGTGTATCCCACCTCTTCACTTTATGCCAGTAACAAATGACCAATATATCGCCAGATGCCCAGTTCTAGTAGGTGATTACAAGATGGAGCCTCTCCTGCTTGCAAGCTCTGGAAACAGCTTGAGCGCATTCCCAAAATTGATCATCTTCCTCAACTCTTCATCCATCTCATACGACTCAAGTTCCTGGAGGAATGCTGGATAGGCAGGAATCGGGGCATATGGGAAGTCGCTCCCGTACAGAATATGGTCATGCGGAACCATCTTCAAGAGTGTATCCAGAACCTGTGGCGACGAGCTTAATGCTAGGTCGAAGTGAAAACTTCGGAACGACTCCATTGCTTTTTCATAGGTTGTTCCGATGCGATGCGATACTGCAAAGTCCGGTGCGCGTTTCATAGGCGTCGTCACTCGAGAAATCAAATACGGTAGGGTCCCCCCCTGCGTGTGAAAGTATGACTTTGCAATTGGGAAACTTGAAGCGGGTTCCGTTGGTAATCATATCCATCGCGGTTCGTGTCGTTTCGTGGGGGTAGTCAACGGATGGCTGTGGCAACTTTGGGTTGACGGGGTTGGTATCGACTGGATGAGTTGGATGGATGAACACGACACAACCTCGTCTATTTAGTTCAGCCCAGATGGGCTCCACCTCAGGATGTCCAAGATAGGTGTTTGAGGAGCCGTAGCGGGTAAATAGCGTGACCCCATCGGCGTGGAGGGTATCTAGGCCATATGCAATCTCTGCGAGAGCATCCTCAGTGTCGAGAATGTTGGGCAAGGATAAGAAGAAGGCGAAACGTTCAGGCTCACGGTCCCGCAGATCAGCAGCATATTTATTCAATTTTCTTGCCAGTTGGGCTCGTTTCTGGCGGTCTGGAACGACACAGGCGCCCGGGGCCGTAACAGAAAGCACTGCTGTCTGCACCCCAACACGTTTCATCAACAGCTTCGAAGCTAAGGGGCTCCAACTGGGGGTAGGCCAGCCACTTGGGTCACCTCCTTGCTCTTCTACAGCTGTTACAAACTTAGTGGGGAATCAAGATATCGAGGGTCGCCAGGATCTTACCCTTAGCATAGAAATCTGGCACAAAATGATGGTGAGTGTCAATCTTGTTTATTGGAGGCGTATGACTCCAGCCGATTGCTTTCTCTCGGAGCCAGTCGAGGGTATGTTCACCCATTGTTCTGAATATCTCAAACTTGCGAAAATAGAGAATGATAAGAAATATGATAGGGGCCGAAGTGACGAAAATCATCGCAATGGGTATCTCCAAAGCTACCTTGCCAAACCTCCAGGCTTTTAATACCTGAGAATAAATGCCGATTATCCGAGAGGCTTCTAGGAAAGCAGTGCGTCATCTATGCGGAGGACCTGGCACGGAACCATCCCGGTGAGTCCCCACAATCCCCACAGAAATCCAGTTACTCCACACTAACTTTGATGGGAACAAGCCTTGTGTGACTATATTTACAAGATTGGTACGCTACATTCTCCGATGACTGCAGCCATCCATGCCGGAAGAAGAAAATAAATTCCTCTATTTCGGACTATACGATAAGGGCTTTGATATACGCACTGATACTCAAAGAGGAGCTTCAGCTAGAGAGGTTGGCATATTAAAGGGCAGCATCTTCATTTCAGATCCCACCTTTAAAATCCAAAATACCTAGGTATATAGCGGATCACTCCCCGAAGCAAGATATGATGAAATCTGTGATGGCCTTCGTTGTTTCACTTGGAGGCCTCCCAGCTGCAAAGTCCATCAATGGCCCGTCGTGAGTTTCATTAGCCATGTGAATTGTCACATCTCCTTCACTTGTCCTTTTCAGCAAGTCTCCCAACTGCTGTATATGATCGCGAAAAACCTCTTCACTGCCACCGGTTAAAATGATGCGCTCGATAGCCGCAAAGCCTTTCCACCAGCTTTCGGGTACACCCATGGACATTCCCCAGGCATTTCCCGAAGAAATGTCATCTTGCCAAGGAGAATTTTCAACAAGATAATTTCCCCATTTTTCAACATTCTTCCGGCTCAAAACATCGGCACTAAACCATCTTGAATAGGAGACGGTATTGAAGTTCAATGAGGCCAAAGGAGATACAAGAAAGCACCCTCTTATTGCGCCCTGCAGATCAATGGCACTCTCTTTCAAAGGATCGAAGGGACGGTGACGATGTAGATGCGCCATAAGACTTAGGGACAGATGGCCTCCCGCGGAGTCGCCTCCAAAAATAATCTAAGATTAGCCTAGTTAGACGGCGAATCGACTGCTTTGTTGTTGTAGAACCTACCTCTGACGGCGTATATCCTGAATTCAGGAGATGTTTAAGTGCGGAAATGCCCTGTGACATTTGCCTAGGATACGGATTGGCGGGAATCAAATCTGACAACTTAGCGTTCATTTTTTTCTTTCGATTTTTCTCACTGTACGAACCATATTCAAGAATACACACACTTAGCTCAATCCCAGTGTTTGATGCCTCTTTTCTTATATGTGCCATCCAGTCAAGATGTCCCTTGGAAAGAGGCATCACATATCCGCCGCCTATACGGTCAGTGGGTCTCAAGCAAGAAATAATGCATAGTCATACCGTGAAAAAAAAGAACCACCTTGCTTGCATACTTCGGCCCAACCCACAGCAGTCGAGTTGAATTGTCAGCCGCTAAAACATCAACTGCGGGAACGGCACCCTGAGATGATATCCATGCATTATACGTGTCAATAGTGGATGGTAGAATGGCTTGTAGGTATTGGGGTGGGGTATTGGTCATGAGCGCTCCAGCGAATCCATTCCAGATGGATGCTCCTAATGGTAGATTTTTCAACCACCCCCGGACGGTGGCCCCTAAAATCCTGAAAACTGCACAAGGCAAAATTCGAAATAGGAAGATAATTAGGAACTGCAGTTTTGCGGGGGCTGACAACTTATTCGATATTTCTGTCATAATTCTTTTTTTTCAAAAAATATGGGATTCTATCAGTTTGACCTTGTCTGAGGGATGAAACTTTCTGGGTGGCGTTTTTGGGGGCGGAAATAGGGGCGCCTGGCCGGCAGCGTTTCTGGATTTTGAACAAAGTGCTATGGTAGGAAAATAATCGAACTGTTTCCCGAGGATACTTACTCCTGGCATTCGGCATGTGCTTCCGTGGTTCTTGGGTTAGTTCTAGTTTTCATTAAAGAAAACCTATCGGTCTTTACCAGCCGGGTTGCCTTCCGGCATCCCTCCGGAACGGTTGCGGGGCCATGTTATTGGAGGACATCGAGGTATGGCCCACTTCTCTAATCATAGGCCTGAGCTACTATCGCTTTTAATATATGTTGCAAATTTGCATGAATCACAAAATGAAGTCCGATTATCTTCTGCTCGCAAGTGCCCTCTCTTTGTTTTTACTCCCCGATCCTGACGAATACCATGCACAAATCAAGTATTTTGCCCCGCGAGGGTCTTTACATCGATCCCATTGTAGGGGGTCTGCGCAAATCTCTTCTCCATCCGATGGTGACATCAATTTTTCTCTATTTGGTGCATACAGGCAGATTGACCACCCTTGCGCCGTACGAAACCCTGGTCCAATTTACCGCGGCGGTCAGTATCACCCTTTGGCTAAATGATTGGTTGAGCGTCAAAAGCCGGAACAACTGGGTGATAGATGATACGTGGGACTGGAAGAAGGAGGTAATCGTTGTGACTGGTGGGAGCGGTGGGATTGGCGCAGGAGTTTCTCAGCGTCTTGCTGATATGGGGGCAAAGGTCATCGTGTTGGATATAATCCCTTTAACCTTCAAGCCAGGTATTTGAGCGACGTTGATTTCGAGAACGAAAAAGTATCTTTGGAATTATTAACGCGGCCTTGCAGGAACTAAACGCATCGTGTACCGAAAGTGTGATCTCAGTGATGAGAAGGAAATCGCGAACGTTTGCGAAAATATAAGAAATGAGGAGGGCCACCCAACCGTCTTAGGTCAGTGAAAGAAAACTCACCTAGGTTCCGCGATCTGATGTTGATAGTGAATAATGCCGGCTTATCGCGCGGTCAGACTGTCGTCGAAGGGGCGTATAGCGACAATATCATCACGCTAAAGACGAACTTACTAGCGCCGTTTTTACTCACGAAAGAGTTTCTCCCGTACATGATCCAGCGAAACCACGGTCATATTGTTAATATTGCGTCAATGAGTGCCTATATACCCCCGCCAGGGATTGCCGACTATGCAGCATCAAAAGCCGGGTTGATCGCATTCCACGAGGTATGCCTCAGGTATTCTTCTTTAGCTTGGCCCTCCAATATACTAAGTATATAGTGTCTGGCTCAAGAGCTCCAAGTGCACAATGCACCAAAAGTTCGAACTTCGCTTGCAGTCCTGAGTTTCACCAAAACACCGTTGTTCAAGGGAGAGACTAACCAGTCCCGATTTCTGATGCCCCTTTTGCACGTTGACACTGTGGTTGACGCGATCGTTGAAGCACTTGATAGTGGACTAAGCAGAACCATATTTCTTCCAGGCATATTTAGGTTTTTCGCAGGCTTGGTGAGTTTGTATTGTATCTTCTTGTTAGGTTTTCGTTAACAAAACATTCAGCGAGGAGCGCCAGATTGGTTTCAAAATTTCATTCGGGGAGCCTCCAAGTCCCTGAAAGTGGAGTTCAAGGGTCGTCAGAAGATTGATCCGAAGTCTGGCAGGCTTTTTTGTTAGAAGCATACGACGTTCCATCGCCGTAACTTACCAGTGTTTCTGCCAGGGTCCCAGAATTACCGGTATTCTCTATAATTAACGCTTCGCCAGTTTGCCAGTGGGGCTATCCTACGGTTATAAATTCCTTGCCTCTCAAAATCCAAGTTGCTAGTTGTATAAATGGGTATGACGCCAAGTAGCATTATTTCTTAATCTGTAGGATGTGTTCGACCGCTGGTAGATGGACTATCCAAACTATAATGGATAAGAATTAGCTTTACTAACTCGTCTTCGAATGAATCCGGAACTAGATATCACTTTTCTGTCTGCTTGTAGTCTCTGCATACAGCTCGTCATCATCCGAAAATTAACCAACAAGATAGCTCTGGAAGCGGCGATCTGTTGAGTTTCATAGCAATACAATGGTATCGATCATGGAAAGTCTTTTATGGAAAAGGAAAAAAAAATCCGTGATGAATATATTGGCTATTCGAATTTCCTTCTCAGGGCTCTGGTATATAAGAATGCGGAAAAATAGTAGGCTCGTTCGTGATCCGTATGATCCATTGATGCTGTATTAAAAGATTGACATAGTTCACTAGATCACCCAGCCTGTTTTAAACACCCAATCTGATAGTATCACGGCAATAGCAGCAGCCTATTTCAAAACTTAGCCCACAAAAATATGGAAATAATTATTCATATACCACTCACCATTGACATGTCTGCTCCAGAAGTTACAGTCACCTCGAGAATAGGTTTATGTCTGTGCCATCGAGAGTTCATAAAGGGCAAAATCTCGTTGTGCTCTATACTTTCCCTCACTGTCGCCACCTTTCTATCCCCGTCCACAACATCATATAACGCTAGGATGCTACCGTGTCTCTCAATAATTAAATTAATCCGTTTCTCTTCTGGCTCTTTCCCATTCACAGCAGCTTGGTTCTCGAACGATAGGCTTAAATCATGGAGACCCTGGATAAAGGACCATTTTGGAGCAGCTTTGGCTATACTTGTATGATCGCTTCCGGGCAATGTTATAAGCCAAGAATGTATGAAGACGGCTTTCTGATGAATTTCAAAAAGGGGGAGCCCTGAAGAGTCCCGAAATTCTCGACAAGCACGATCGCCATACTTCCTGCCACTCACGGTGAACTTCACCAAGCCGTTTTCATCGTCGACGATCTTGAATGAAACGGCCGATTCGGCGTCGCCCTGTGGTTTAAGAACCAGACGTGTTTCTGAGGTCGCGATATATTCTTTTCGGAAGGCAATCTGGCGTCGTGGGGGCCGGAAGGCTTTGCGGGGTCGTTCAGGAGGCGGATTTGGCCTCCTAGATTGTAGATGAGAAGTGAACATTATGTTGCTATTTTATTGCTGGGCGGTCGTCAACCTGGAAACGGGCGGAAGATATATGGAGATTCGGAGTGCTGGACAATTCCTAGCGGCGTAACTCTTGGACATTGCCCCATACCCCACCCACGCCGGCATTCTCGGTTGGGAAACGTGACACCAACCCCAGTTGCCCCGTATGTAGCATAATTGTGGGGCTGTGGCCGCGTGTTGTGTTGGGTTCTGTGTGGTAGTTAACTATAACGCATATGGTATGGATAATCCTGGAATTGGCAACGGAAATCTCCGATCAACAGCCATTCGTTTTTGATTTCTGAGCAATAGCTCAAGCACATATGCCTCGACAATTTGATTTCCTTACTCAAAAAAAGCATAACAGATAACTATTGTATATCTCTGGCCACTTAGTGCCTACACGTCTGCCTTGGCGACTCTCTAACCTAGCGGGATGCCCCTTCAGCCATTCACCTGAAAGGCCGCAACTGATATACGAAAGTTGTCCTTGTGAATTCTCACAGGTCAAGGTTTAATTGGGTGCTAGAATATCAATAAGGGATAAAAAATTGTCTTTACTCTTATCCACTAGGCTAGCTTAGTAACGACCAGAAGGGCTTGGTACATTGGACGAAAACAGGAGCACGATAACAGATAGAGAAACGGAAAAGACATAGATTCTCCATTCCTCTCATTTATTCTCTGTTTCTTATGCAATATAGCGAAAGGCTTCCTTCCTATTGCGACGCTCTTCTTCAGTAATGCCTTGAATTTCTGCGCGTGCTTCTCCGACCATGACCTCATGGACGGCTGAATCACCTGCTGCAAGCTTCCTATTTGAATTTAAAAGCACCATACGCATGAAAAGAGCAAGCAAAATGGCTAGAAGGGCGAAGCCACTGTTTGTGGCCATTGCAATGACGTATCTTGGTGCACTTTCGTCAGGGTAAAGATAGGAGCTAAACACTTGGGCGATGTTACCAAAAGCATTGACAAATGCAACGGCACTGGCACGCTTGATACGGGGACGAAGCATAGTTTTCTGCGTCCACGCGACGAGGACTGCATTGGAGCCATATGCGCCAGCAAGCTGAATAGTGCTTTGGATTAGCGCTGGGTATGGAAGGAAACAGACAATGATCAGAAGCGAGGGTTGAATCGAAAGAAACATTAAGGGAATCTCGAAACCTACCATGATGATCATGGCGAAATATCTGGGGCCAACCCCGGTGGTTGTCGCAGCGATGATATATCCGACAATGGCCATAGCTAGAGGCCATACAACGTGAAAGCTTGAGTTCTGCAGACGGTCTGCCGAATAGTTATTTAAAACCGAGACTGCCAGGGTTACCATGTAAGGGGGCACAGTGAGTAACAAAGTTTGGACCTTGCCAAAGCCAAGAGTTTCCACCACGGATGGAAAGAAATTTGATGTAGCGGAAGAGACTTGCACGCATAAAAGCATAAGAGCAAAGATATAAATGCGCCAATCTTTGAAACAGAGCCCAAATCCGTACGACCAGGACTCATCTTCATCTTCATCGACCTGGCCGGCATCCTGAATCAGGCGCCATTCGGCAACAGCCCGCTCGGTTGGTGAAAGCCATTTAGTAGTTGACGGCCAGTCAGGTAGAACGAAGTATGCGCAGGATGCGACGAAGACGGTAATTGCGCCTCTGAAATAATACTTTGGGTTAGATTGACTGTTCTTAGATGAAAAAGAAGGGTTCATAATACTCAATTATGAATATCCAACGCCAGGATTCTAACCCGCGAACACCATCCATGCCTCCTTGAATACCAGCTCCAATAAGGCCGGAAAAGGCAGATCCAATTTGAGAGCCAGAGAAAAGCAGAGCTCCGCGGAAACCTAGCTCAGACCGGCGATACCATGAAGAAAGCAGAAACAGGGCACCGGCTATCAGAGTTAGATGAGCTTCCTTTTGGAGAGTAAATAGTCCAACTGATGTATCACTCACGATAATATGCTGCTTCAACTATACCCAAGAAGAAACGCGTGGCGTATAGACTGCTTGCGCTGTTACAAATACCGGTGAGAGTAGATATAACTCCCCAGATCATCATTACAGTTGGTAGATATAGGCTCGGTCTGACCTGTGCGAGGTAGACGTTTGAGGGGAGTTGCATCAGAATGTAGCCCACAAAAAGCAGGGCAATCGCGGTTGCATACTGGGTTGAGCTGAGGCCGAGATCCTTTTGCATACCCGCAACTTTGGCTGCAGCTATGTTTTTCTGAAGATTCTCAGTCAAAATATTCTCCCACGCGAGCCAGTCAGTTTTACTCACGCGATCCAAGTAGTTAAGAATAAAAATTAGCCATAGCATGGATAAGAGGCGGCAATCAAGCTTCCATTTTAGCGACTTCTCGGCTGCGAGGTACTCTTCTTGGCTCATGTTCTGCGCATGGGCTAACCGGTTGGTTGTTTGGTTTCGGTCGACCTTTTTGAGGTCGGACTCTTCGGTACGGGATTCATTAACTGTGCTCATATTGTCGGTTGAAAAGTCGGTGGAAGCGGGCTCTTTATTGTTAAAGCCTGCAACCATCGTGGATGTTGAACCTTGGGATGAGCGTGGCTTGATGGGAATGAATCGAGGATAGGAATTCCAAGGTCGTGAATTGAAGTATGATAACGAATTTCGCAAGTTTCCTTGATTGAACTCTGGAGTGCTAGTGCTTGTATATCATAGATTCTCTCGGAACACACTTGGCCAGAAGGAATTATCTCGCAGAAATGGTATCCCGGCGGGCGAATACAGATGTTTATATCTATTGTCTATGCCCAGGTGTCGGGCTTAATCCGCACTGTACTCCAGGGATTTAAAAACCTAATAATTCCACATATTCCCAAAGTTGGAAATCACGTTGAGCATAGGAAGCGCGATTGGCTAGTAATTATGCGGGGTAAATCTGGGCAATCCGGGGTAATACTATATTCCTCCAGAAATTATTTCGTGTTTGTTTACAGTATCTTCAAATATGCGGTGAAACCCCGCAACGAAAGGCCGAATTTTGTATCGGGCATATCCGAGCGGAGTTGCCTATCAGTAGTAATCGAGTAGATTATTCGGGCTCGGGCCGACGCCGAGATGGTCCGGACAAATGAACTACGGTACTATCGAAGAGACCGTGACACTACAGGCAGTATAGTTAGCTACGGATCCATGTTAAGAACCCTAGAAAATAGATTGAGTACGAGTATTGAGAGATCGGAACACTGCCGAAAACACATCTCGAGACCTAATAGCCCGTTTGAAATAGAGATATCCTCAGAGAGAAATGTCCTTGCGTTAGATGGAAAGCATACATTCTTTTAGAGACCACCTGAGTGGGAAGAAAGATGTAGGTTTCCTACGGAAACAACCAATGTCTTAATACTAGTAGTTCCTTGGTCGTGATTGTCTTGAAGATGCGGGTACTTATTAACCGTTCTACTATTCAAATTGAGCTTCACCTCCAATAAAATATAACATAATGAATTAACAAGACTTTTGACTATACTAGTAGTAAATAAAATAGAATATGATTTCCTTGAGATAGCCAGGAGTACTGGCATGATGCAAAGATGAGCATTCGTGTGGGTATCGGATTCCGATATCACAGCTTCCCAAGCGGCATTTGAGCGAGCACATCTTGGCGTTCGGAACGGCGCCCTAGTGTGAGGGTCTCTAGCATCGCTGAAAGCCCTGACCCCATTTAATAGTTCGTTCAGTACGTCGGGTAAACACCGAAAGTCACAGAGACGCAATTCCTCTCTAGAAAATTCCTGGCCCCTGCTGCCTGAGGCAGTTTCATAATAAGCTTTGCTTGCATCGAAGATTCTAGCATGAAGTTGATTGAATAGACTAACATAATAAATCCATATGATCCTGACCATAACTAAGCAGAAAAGGAAGATCAAACTATCAAGTTTACCATGTAGATATCAATCACACACGGGGCGTATGGTTAGGTTTCAACGTAATAATTATGTGACAAGGGAATGCGGGGTAGGTTCATAAAAAACCATAGAAATACTTCGGTCAATGTACTGCTTCATTATAGATATATGAGACGAGTTTCATTGGTATTGAAGTAGTAGCATTACGCTTGGTGGCCGGAGCAACAACGGCAAGCTCCGTAGGGGCGCCGGTGGCGGCCTCAGCACCGTCGGTACGGAGAACGACCGAATAGATTGAAATATGACGGGGCACACTGCCGGCGGCACTCTTCTTCTGACCTAGATCGGCAAAAACCTGACCGTCGCGCAATACTGGAAATTTGGAAGAAACTCGTGGATATTGAGCATGAGGAATGGGTCTACCTGCACGCCCTAAAGCCGCATCCACCCACTGACTTTGGTGTCTCTACAATACACACATCTTCCGTGAACCTTCGTCCTCCCTCCACTAGAACCGTCCTTCAAAAGATTTCATGAATGTCTTTTATTTGAATAGAGAACGCAAAGTAACGACTTTGAGGTGCTGTACCGGATTGTAACATGGCCCTTAATCCAGACTCTTTGAATGCTGAAACTTATAGTAAAAAGTTTTGAGCTTTCAATTGGACACGATACATCTCCGCCGCCCCCGCCAATTTAATTATATCTCCTCTTGGGTATTTTTGTATTCTTCATGATGTGTCTGTGGTTCTCGCTAATGCTATTCGGTGTGTGGGTTCTTGAATAATCGCTGGCTGAAAAAATGGAACTGCATCAGGGCCGTGGTGAGCCGCGCTGACATGGCATTTTCGCATTCGCTCGGTCGGATCTAGTATTCAGTCCAGGGGGAGGAATGGAAAATACGAATTTAAAGTCATCTATTGCTCAGAAGATATTCTCAGAGAAAGAGAGGGGAATGACTTGTTTTGCGACCGGGAGTCGTGAAGTAACCAGTTATTGGGGGCCTCGCACGGACATTGGCACTTCATACAGTGGAGATTGTCAGCTCGAAAGTCATGCCAGTGTCCAATGATATTCAAATGCCATGCAGAAGATATGATCAGAGTTAGTTATAAGGATAGCTACTGATAAGTGCGTAATATTTAGTAGGCTAGTATTCAGAATTCACAAGACGAATACCAATGATTCCAACTTTTACACCGCGTCAATCTAAAAGCAGCAGGAACAGCAAGAAACAATTGTATTCCAACTACCATATATGCAAGATACTACAAGTAAGTGGAATATGGTTCAATTGTAGCAAAACTAATCAAAGTAAAATATGACTATTCTAGTGAAATAAATATCGACTTGATAGAGGAAGGAGGAAAAGAAGATATACGAGAGGAAGCATTAGTTAATGTGGCCAGTGCATTGTTTCTTTTTCTCTTTCGCACGTATGGAATTGAGTTGAGCCGAATCAAATCAAAGCCAGAATGCAAGCAAGCCATATTAAGGCAGCTGATGACTAGTAATCACCACTTTGCAAGTTTGAAGTAATCCACATCAGCTACCACGCGGCCTGCTTCAACGTAGATTTCAGCCCTCTCCCACGTCCCTCCAGTCCTTCTTGTACGCCTTATGCCAAAACATTAGACTAATTTGTGTCAATGAAATTTGAAAGACTAGAAAATCACAAGTTTGGATAAAATTGTGAAGTGCAGATCGTTGGTTTAAACCCCGAAATATCCTTTCACATCATGATACCTCAATTTGAGCCAGTCCGAGTCCCTCTTACTACTCCGCTCCCCTGTCGAATACTGATCACATAGTTGTGCATTTAACTAGCCACGGTTATGAGTTCTATGCAGGAGTTGGACCGCAAAGAGGAGCAGGTGGAAGAATCCCAAAATTAACCATGATCGGGGCGGCGCTTAAAGCCGCAGGCGAAAATGTAGAAAGGAGGACTTGACACACGATACTCACAAGGTTTATAAACACGGGCTTTCCATACTATGTCACTATGCCCTCTTACTATACACAGCTTATAGAGAAAGTTGTTCTATGATCTTCAGGGGGAATTAGCAACTTGACTGATTTTCCTTCGTAGGGTTTTGGCATTGTATTCACTTGAATTACATTAGATATTCAGGCATAAAAAATCATCTGCTGGGTCAAAAGTTCAAAATATTTTCCATTTTGAATAATAAAATTTCTAGACGATTTTTCTTTTCAAAAAAAGAAGCAAAAACAAAAACATACAACAGCAGGGATTCGCATGTGGTCACCCACCATACTACTAACCTGCCGGCGTGTGGCTTAAGTACGGCTGAGCGGACGGGAAGCCCTGTTCTCCACACCCTATGGTCGTATGTACAGTAAATTGTGGAGTAAGGGCTTATGTGGTCTATTCTAGAAGGAATAACCCATGTTTACTTTCTGCAGCCTCTCAGTCACCATGTCATTCCTAAAGCAACAGCGAATTCTATTCTGAACAGTCTCCATACATGGTTAGGACGAAAGAATACATAGCTCATGCAATCGCGTAAATCCATGCACGGGAGTTACTGAATAAGTGAAAATTGCTGATCGCGCGGCTCCCAAGACGCTCGTTGCCTTTTTTGCTCTCCGTAATGACATTGCAACAACAAACTAGCCAGATGATCGACATTGAATTTAGCTATGCGACCACCCGGTCCGAGGGAGATGAAGCCTGACGCTGTCTTAACATACGCTTCGTTGTCCCAATAGAGTGAATCCTAGGCCCCAGTGTCCAGGATCCCTGCTCCTAAATTATATTTGTGTTTTTTTTTCTCGGTATTTGGCTTATTTTCGTGGCATGAGATGACACCCAGCCAGTAGTAACAAACACAACAATCATGTTGGCCTAAGTCCTCCTATGTCCAGAGATTGACTCCAATGATCCCCGGTTGGAACAAGCCATTTTTCTCCTTGGTCATGATTTTCCTTTCCTTCAAAAACTTCACCCGTAATCGCTTGGCCACTTCCTCGACTATTATCTTATATGCATAATTATCCACCATATTGCGGATTTCCCGAGGGAGTTCTGCTAGGGCTCTATTGACAATAGCGTCTCTGTCAATTCACCAAGTATCTCTTTGTGGAGGAACATTTGCTGACGAAATGATCCGAATGTGCGGATCTGCCAGGTAGAGCACCAAGGCATTGCGATGACCATATTTAGACTTTTTCATAAGTGAAAATGGAGAGACGCGATATTGTAATGTATTTGGAAATGTGAGCAGGCGGCCTTCATGGGTTGAAATGCTCCCAAGCTCTTGTGTCAGCAAAGTTTGCTCTTGGGGCTCGCTAAATCTTTAGATAGGCTCAGACACAGGCAAATAACGGGGTTCAGTCATCGCCGCATGGTGCTTCATTTCTGAAACTTTGCTACGGTAAATGAAGAATAAATTGAAATTCAATACATAAGAGCGATATTGATAAAGACTATTTCCCTACTTTGAAATCCCGCGGAAATAATATTTTGATTCTAATGATGATCCATATCAGAGGTTATCTTTCTATAAATTATTTTGGTCCATTACTTACCACTTTAGATAATCGTTCATACTTATCAGAACCTGGTCATTGAAAGGTTCTCATTCTTTCGTAGAGTAGGCTTATGATTCACGGATATATTTGATCAAGGTGATCTTTCCTTCAGAA